TATATAAACTTGTATATATTTCTTATACAAATCTATGCATCCTATGCATCCTATGCATCCTATGCAGCCGTATATAAACTTGTATATATTTCTTATACAAGTCTATGCATCCTATGCATTCCACTTTTTTTGCATTTGGCATTTTGAAATTGGACATTTTGATTTGGGCGTTCTGTATCCACTCTGTTCACTGAGCACATCTAAATAAATCTAAATAATTTTACATTAAGAAATTCTTTATAAAAAAATTTTGTTTTTACTAAAAAATATCAAAGCCTTTTTTAAAAGAGGTCTGGGGAATTTTTAAGCTTTTCAAACAGAGGCTTTCTGCCTTGTTAATTACATGCGGTCAGAGGAGGGAAAACTCTATAATATTAAGAATACTTTTGTTTAAGTAAAGAAAAAACGGAAAAAATACTACTATATAAATAAGTTGCTTGGGTGTCTGTCCATTGATTTAGAAACAAACTTTTCAACAATTTTTGACATTACATGAAGTCAGGAAATTAGCCAATAAATAGAAAATAACCACTCCTCCCTTTCAGATAATTAGAGGATAACTACCCCTCCCTTTCATATAATTAGAGGATAACTACCCCTCCCTTTCATATAATTAGAGGATAACTACCCCTCCCTTTCATATAATTAGAGGATAACTACCCCTCCCTTTCATATAATTAGAGGATAACTACCCCTCCCTTTCATATAATTAGAGGATAACTACCCCTTCCTTTCATAAAATTAGAGGATAACTACCCCTCCCTTTCAGATAATTAGAGGATAATTACCCCTCCCTTTCATATAATTAGAGGATAACTACCCCTTCCTTTCAGATAACTAGAGGATAACTACAATCCCGCACAGGAATGAATAGAAATAAATACTTATTATTTACTTATAAACTGTAATTCCGTATTTATTTTAAAAAAGAGTATTGCTTATTTCCAATTCTTTAAAAGGTTTAAAAACCCCTCCTTGACAAGCCGCCCCCACCCCCTGATTTATGTAAAAGTTTTTTAATTGGATAGACTCCCACCACTACTTTATACACTTGACATATATACTAAACAGTTTGTTTTCAATCTTCATTTGACAGAAACACTCTCAAGGAATAATAATTTTCTTAAAACATTCTTTAAAGAGTGAATATTTGCAAATTATCTTATTTCCATCTCATGATCTGAGTTCTTTTCCCTTTTGTCCATCTGACAGTCCATTTAAAATTTTGTGTAAATTATCTTTGTTTGTTTATTTTCTTCTGGTTTTCGTTCTTAACATCGCTTTTTGATGGTTATTATTTTAACATTAGAACTAACAAGGTTCAACCTGGACAAAAATATATTTTCAATAAAAATGTGGAACTAACATCTACTTTTTTCTACAAAGATTTGGTCCATCACCAAATTTTAATTCAATTTGAAAGTATTTAAATTTTCCAATCAGATTGTACATGGTTGTAGTGTATATCCTTACACATATTTTCGCGCTATATTCTTTTCTGAGAATTAATATTTACTCTACTAATTACGGAATGGTTTTGTATTACATAATTTTGCGTAATTACACCTTAATAACGTGAAACTAGACTTTCTTTAGTATACATAATTAAAAAACAATTTCCTGTAATGCTCCTCCGTAAGTGAAAGAAAGTGTTACGTCTAATTATGTGTAACATATTACGACTGAAAACCCCCAGCAACCGCTTCTTGCTTGAATCCTGTCCATTTGTCTGGAAATACACTCCAGGTCAAATCAAGCTGTTCCACCTAAAATGTAATAATTTAAACCTTCTTAAGTCAAGATATTTTAATCTTAAATTATTAGATCTAAAAACATTTATGATTTAAAATATCTAATAATGCATACGAAATATCATAGTACTAGAAAGATAACAGATTAGACAATTTGAGTTTGTTGCAAAGACTCAATTTCTGATTGTCAAAGTTTAGGAAGTTTAAATTCTTTTTTCAATTCTTTGCTAGGGTCATATTAATTACCACCATAAATGCTGGACATCTTGTTTTAGCCGGTTTGATGTTGATTGGGTATAAACAGACAATTAGAGGTTTGCCTGATCCAGAGCAAAGAAAAAATCATTTTTGCTTTTGTTAGAAACCAATGCCAGAAAACCTTATCTTAGTTCTTAATATGACTAAAAACATAAATAATAGATCTCAAAACTTTAGAATGAGATATTCTTAATCACGGATACTTCATCTGCTCAGTATCAACTATACACACTGTTGATTTTACATGATTTTATATGTTATAGTCTTAATAACAATTAATCCAAATCTTATATTCATTCAATCGATGTTCAGTTCAACTGATATGACACCATCAACACCAGTAATGGTAAAAACCGGTTTTTCAAAAATTCAAGAGCACATCTTAACATGATTTGCTGATTGGTTGAATTTTAAAATTCTTTCTTGGAGATTCAGGAGATCAAGCATATTGATCTCAAAATCCACCATTCTAAAGTTCTTAGCTCTGAATGGATTTAATATATTTTTACGTTTTAATAAATATTTCATTGTTTACATTTCCTTTTTCGTCACATTTTTATAGGTAATATGTAATAGGTAATAATTCTACAATTTTGGTAAAAATATGTGAACAGTCCCTTTAATCTATAACCTAATAGACAAATTATATAATGTTTAATGGACCTAATATTGATCTACTGAGTTCATATTGACAACTTATTCAATAAAAACCTTTCACAAAATGTCACTCAATATTCTGTCCAGTATTAGAAAATTGAAAAAGAGCACATTTTAGATCTATCTTCACAACAAAAATTCATTATTTAGGGAAACATAAATATATCTTTTAATATCTTTAATTTTAGAAAGGTTCCATGGTGTTTCCAACATAGAAGCTGTGATTCATAGATTTTGTGTTTTAATAGTCAGCAAGGCTTAATTTTCAAACCTTTTTTGAATGAATCATACTCTTAATAAACCTTTCTTAATAAAACATTAAAGATATGCATGAAACCATCTATATATAAATTTGGCTTGTCTGTCTGGGTGTCTGTTTGTCTGTCTGTCTGTTTGTTTTTATCCAATAAACGTCAAAACGGCTGAACCGATCGGGCCCAAATTTTTTGTGGGACATCACGTGACCACAGGGAAGGTTTATGAATGATCAAAATTTCAAATATTTGTCTCCATCAAAATTGGATCTTCATTAAATTTTTGAAAATTTTGAAAATCCACGAAATTTTTTGTGAAAATCCGCTAATTATTTTTGTTTTGTTTTACAATGTACACAAAGAGAACATGTTCACAATCAATTTAGAAGATGGGCGCGAAGCACCCTATAAGGCTAGTAACTAAAATTTTTTCTTTAAATCAATTTATAAACAAATTTGTAAATGAATGCTATCTAATTTCATTGATGTATTTTTACATGTTCCATTTCAACACACCTTAAACTAAAGTAAATGAAATATAAGATTGAGATACTTTTATTGAAAAGCTATTGAGAGAAGGACAAACATCTTCTATATATTAATTTGGCTTGTCTGTCTGTTTGTTTGTATCCAATAAACGTCAAAACGGCTGAACCAATCGGGCCCAAATTTTTTGTGGGACATCATGTGACCACAGGGAAGGTTTCTGACTGATAAAAATTTTAAAAAATGTGTTTTAAAGGTTTTTAATTTTCTAAAAAAATTTAAATTCTTGAAAATCCGCGAATTTTTTTTTGCAGATTCTAAAAGTAGAGCACAAGAGCTTTCCAATGATCATTTGTCATATTTGGACATTAAACATGGGATTTAGAGGGGGGGGGGCCAAATTGCCCCCCCCCCAGCATATCCTGGTTTTCAAGTACTCCAGCAGGGATAGGGTTAATTTTCTAATCCATGGAACAACATCAAAACTTATTCAAAATAAATCCTGATATGTTATTTTTTGTTTTTAAGAGATTTGTTTATCCAAGTTTCTAAGATTGAAGTTACTTCAGCCACCAGACATCTTGGAGAGAAACTTTGGAATTTATCGTTACAAACTTTATATTGTAATGCAGATTGCTTTTCCACTTTTTTAGAAAATGGAAAATAGAATTGCAGAATTGAGGCCAGATTTTAAATGAAGATATTAAGATATTAAGATATTAAGATATTTATAATGATTTGTATCGATTGGACTACTCAAAAAGCTTACTATTAATTTACACTCCTACTCAACTGTATGCCCAACTCAGACATACCAATGTTTCCCTCCCTGTTTACTTTCAGTGTTCTTTCTCAAAACCGGTTTAAGTGTATACCTTATTATGTACTGAAACCTGGATTAGTATTAATCTTTCTTTAAAGGGCTTCAGACCTCTACTGCAGTTTACTTTATCTGATTATTCTTTCGAGGAGGAAATTGCTTACTTAGAGGTCTTATCATGTTTTGCCCTGTAGATTGGTTTTAGCTAATTCACTGCTTAAGTTCATTTAGAGGTTGCTGCAGAATTATAGGTAATGGCTTAGAATGATATACATTTTTGTATTTAGTCACATTCTATGTGTTATACCACTCGCAAATATTTATACATTGGTTGAGACATCTGCAATTTTGTAATGATAATAAACGTTTAATATGTGCAATGTAAAATTTTTTAATTGAGTGAGTATTATGAAATGCACTTTGAGTTTTAGTTAAAATATTTCACTGTATCAAGACCATTAGCAGATAAACTATATCTACTGATCATCATTCTGTCAGCATTTAGTTTTCTTTTCATACTACGGAAAGCTGTTAGGTTGTTCATTTAGTTACTTTATGTTTTCAAGATACTTATATGATGTTTTCTGATCAAATAAACCTGGAAATGTAGCTCATCATTAATTTCTTAATCAGTCCTTCAGATCCCATCAAGTGGAACAATCAGAATGTAATTCTTAAATATTCGATTTTATATTTTACATTATTTTTTTTTTAACACATTTTATTTAGATAAATTACGTAAATACATAAATAACAAATCCATGAATATGAATCAGGATTTGTCTAAGCAAGCAATTTTATTCTATAAAATGCAAAAATTCTTTTCTAGAAAAGTCAGTGAGAATCTTCAATATCTTGTTTCCTGAAATATAAGAAAACTTAATAATATGTTATTATAATATTACTTTGTAAAACTACTTTGTTGCTTTATATGTTTTATATGTTTGAACAAAATCAATTTTATTATACTTTAAAATATTTGATTTACTATAATAGGATTAAAAATCATTTACTTTTATTCTCTATCTTGATTTTTGTTTCAAACCACATAAACTTTTATTGTCTTTTTTATTATTGTTTTAAACCACTTCAACTTTTATTGTGTAACTTTATTATTGTTTAAACCACATACACTTTTCTTATCTAACTTTATTATTGTTTAAACCACATAAACTTTTATTCTCTATCCTTATTATTGTTTTAAACCACATAAACTTTTATTGTCTTTTTTTATTATTGTTTTAAACCACTTCAACTTTTATTGTCTAACTTTATTATTGTTTAAACCACATAAACTTTTATTGTCTATCTTTATTTTTGTTTAAACCACATAAACTTTTATTGTCTAACTTTATTATTGTTTAAACCACATACACTTTTATTCTCTATCCTTATTATTGTTTTAAACCACATAAACTTTTTTTGTCTAACTTTATTATTGTTTTAAACCACATAAACTTTTATTGTCTATCTTTATTATTGTTTTAAACCACATAAACTTTTATTGTCTATCTTTATTATTGTTTAAACCACATACACTTTTATTGTCTAACTTTATTATTGTTTAAACCACATACACTTTTATTGTCTAACTTTATTATTGTTTAAACCACATACACTTTTATTGTCTTCCTTTATTATTGTTTTAAACCACATAAACTTTTACTGTCTTTCTTTATTATTGTTTTAAACCACATAAACTTTTATTGTCTATCTTGATTTTTGTTTTAAACCACATAAACTTTAATTGCCTATCAATATCATTGATCTAAACCACATCAACTTTTATTTTAATCTATGATCCACTTAAAACAACCTTTATATGAGTTATAAGAATAGCTTGTGTTCAAAAATCCCCATCTGGAACAGCAACCACTCCTTGCCTGAAACCTGTCCAAATGTCTGAAACGACACTCCAGGTCAAAGTGTCTAAATCAAGCTGTTCTACCTAAAATATGTAACATTAAAAGTTGTTTAAAGATACTGTAAGTGTAATATTAAGTGACCCTCCATGCAATCAGGACAACCATAAAACCTTTAGCTAGTTAATAAAGTGAAATATATTGTCACTTTCTAGGTTTAAAAGTTTTTAATTCTGATAACTCTTATGTTTTCCTGAAGTAGAAATGCGCCAGTCACTATGTAAGACTCTACAATGGAAAATAATCTGTTTCTAAAATAGAAACTTTGCATAAAATAATGAAACCTAATTCTTAAATGATTAAGCAAAGCTTATATGGGTATAATGGTATTGTCATCTTTGAATGGAGGTCCACTTGAAATTTCGCTTGGAGCCCCTTTAAGAAATAAATACATAGTGAATTATAATCAAATTTGCTTTGACACTTTTTCCAATAAGGTTTCTTTTTTCTAATGTAAGGTGTAATGAAAGTTAAGGTAGTACTGGACATGTTCAGACTTTTTTAGAATTGGACCTGTTAGTCAACGATATAAATATTAACAGAAATTGGACCTGTTAGTTAACGATATAAATATTAACGAAAATTGGTCCTGCTAGTTAACGATATAAATATTAACGGAAATTGGACCTGTTAGTGAACGATATAAATATTAACGGAAATTGGACCTGTTAGTTAACGATATAAATATTAACGGAAATTGGACCTGTTAGTGAACGATATAAATATTAACGGAAATTGGACCTGTTAGTTAATGATATAAATATTAACGGAAATTGGTCCTATTAGTTAAAGATATAAATATTAACAGAAATTGGACCTGTTAGTGAACGATATAAATATTAACGGAAATTGGACCTGTTAGTTAACGATATAAATATTAACGGAAATTGGTCCTGTTAGTGAACGATATAAATATTAACAGAAATTGGACCTGTTAGTTAATGATATAAATATTAACGGAAAATACTCTGATTATATTTACCAACTTGCTGTTCTTTAAAGGGACAGACTGGCTATATAAGATTGTTAAACCGAGTATGCAGTATTGTGGACAATTCTTTAGGATTCATTTGAGACATATAAACAGAGTTTGCAGTATTGTGGACAATTCTTTAGGATTCATTTGAGACATATAAACAGAGTATGCAGTATTGTGGACAATTCTTTAGGATTCATTTTAGGCATATAAACAGAGTATGCAGTATTGTGGCCAATTCTTTAGGATTCATTTGAGACATATAAACAGAGTATGCAGTATTGTGGACAATTCTTTAGGATTCATTTGAGACATATAAACAGAGTATGCAGTATTGTGGACAATTCTTTAGGATTCATTTGAGACATATAAAACGTTTCCACTATGTATAATTAATGAATTTGAGTGCATAGTTGAGGTTCAAAATAAAGAATTTGGGTTTGTTTGTTTTCAGAATTGTTTTTTTTTTAATTATTAATTAAGGACGACGAAAAAATTATGAAAACATATACAGTAAACTAATTAAATGTTTAGGAACATATTTCTCAAAAGAATTTTTTCAAGAAATCAATGCTAGAATAAATTATTTTGTTTTCATCATTATATTGAATTTCTTATTTTCTATGAATTTATTATCAGATTTCTACAAATTCTTCAAATGTCATCTTTTCAATAAAAAATCCTGAAAATCGGGAAAAAATAATAATGAGAGATTATTAAAACAAATAATTGAATAATTGCTTACTTATTTTCGATGATAAGATAAATTTTTATTTTCTCAACCTGTTCCTATAAACTGAAAACAATTCTGAAAATGTTTTCACCCAAAAGTATGATTTTGAACGTCGACTTTGCGCTCAAACTCAGGATTTAAAGATATTTAAAAAGTTTTATATGTTTCAAATGAATCCTAAAGAATTTGACTGCAGCACTGCATACTCGGTTCAACTACCTTTTATAGCCGGTCTATCCCTTTAATGAAAGGTTGCCTAACTTTAACCCTAACCCTACAAACTTTTAAAATTTGTAATAGCTATAAAGATTCTTTGTTTTTAATATTGTATAATATCTTATATGCTTGAGTTGGATTGGGTACTTGGGATTTAATGTTTTTGATACCTTTGCTGTAACAATACTTCCTCCAATAGCAAACACTCCATTGGCTGTGGTAATAACTTTATGATCTCTTCTAAACATTAATGAAGTTAAATTGTATTTTCTCTTTATTACAGTAACCAAAACTCTATTGATATATAAGCTGACCACACTATATTCATGAATAATAAAATTGGAATCTTTTTCTTCATTTAAAAATCTACGGAAATTAATATCTAAAAAATATTTCCCTCAGACTTAGAGTGAACAAGTTACACAGAATCATATGGCAGCTCTTTTTATACCGTGATAACCAGAAAAGTCTGAAATAGGAAGGTGGCTTTTAGACTTAAAGGGAGTGTTTGTAAAAAATGAAAGGGGTATAGGCTTAATGCGATAAAAAAGCGCTTTTGATCACTACTAATCTTACATCTATCTGTTGTGTCTATAAGGAGAAAATTGTTAAAGACGTCTCATACCGAATAACAAGCGGCCATACAAGTTGAGAAAATTGCAACATACTACTTAGACTGTAAAAATCAATTTAATTTCAAATAAATCATTTAGATATTACAACCTATAGTCATCGATTATCTTTCGCCACATTTATATATAGTTTATATTTTATAATATTTTATTTTTTAGAAAACGTTTTCAACGGATTTCGAAAATTGTGAGTATTGTGNAAAAATGGGACTAAATAAATCATTTAGTTTAAACGTAATATATGCGTAATTACGCGTAATGCTCCTGCGTAAGTGAAAGAAAGTGTTACGTTTCGTTACGCGTAATTACGCGTAACGAAATTACGACTGGAAACCCTAATCACATTTATGTTTTGTACTTATCAGTTGTCACATGGCTATGTTGTATAATAAACAATTTACTTTTTCTTTCTGTCTTACTAAAATAAATCTCCCTTCCACACAGATATGCAAACTTCCAAGGAAACATTTATGATTTTTCCATATTTTTAAAAAAAATAGAGTTTTCTGTCAAATTTTCATATAAAAACCTCTATATATTCTTGTTTGAGTAGCTTCATCATAAGAGTAACCTCCTGTAACAAGTACTTGCTCCTCTCCTGAGGTCGTATTCTGAAAATATAAATTCACGTTTAATCAATGTAAATTTAACATTAGATTAAATCTTACATTCTTTTAATCATAAATTCTCATATTGAACATATAATGAGAAGAACAAAAAAGTTTTGATTTTTTAGGATGTAACCAAATAAGTTTGTTCTTTTCAAACTTTTGCAAAAAATCAAATCTAGTTTTGAGGTCACAAAGTGATACCAATAATCTCAAAAAAATTTGACCTTCTCGTTATGTCTAGTGATATTTCTAGTACATTAGTAAAAAGAATTCTAATATTTTATCCATTATTATGAAACTTTCAAGCATTCAAGCATTTTGTTCAAAATTATTAACAGACCGTTAAATTTGAGAAAATTTGTATACATATCCCAATTATATGCAACTATTTTTATATATATTATATTATTATTATATTTTATATATATTATAACATATTATGCAAATGTAATATTTGTCTACCACCATGCATTGGATTTTTGGAGATTCAAAATGATATACATTATGTTATAGCCCATAGGTTTTTTTTTACATTTGAAATGCATAAATAGAAGAAATGTTACCATAAAGGTGGTGCAAGAAAATAGAAGAATTGTTACCATAAAGGAGGTGCGAGAAATTAGATGAAGTGTTACCATAAAGGAGGTGCAAGAAAACAGAAGTAATGTTACCATAAAAGGGATGCAAGAAAATAGAAGAATTGTTACCATAAAGGAGTTGCAAGAAAATAGAAGAATTGTTACTTTAAGGTGGTGCAAGATAATAGAAGAATTGTTACTTTAAGTTGGTGCAAAAGAAAATAGAAGTAATGTTACCTTAAAGTTGGTGCAAAAAAATAGAAGTAATGTTACCAAAAAGTTGGTGCAAGAAAATAGAAGAAGTATTACCCTAAAGTTGGTGCAAGAAAATAGAAGTAATGTTACCACAAAGTTGGTGCAAGAAAAAAGAAGTTATGTTACCATAAAGGAGCTGCAAGAAAATAGAAGAAATGTTACTATAAAGGTAATGCAAGAAAATAGAAGAAGTGTTACTTTAAACATGGTGCAAGAAAATAGAAGAAGTGTTACCATAAAGGTAGTGCAATAAAGTAGAAGTAATGCTACCGTAAAGGTGGTGCAAAAAATAGAAGTAATGTTACCATGTTGAATATGTGGACTTGAAAACTTCTATGCGTTTTCAAGTGCAAGGATTCAATCAACTCTGTCAACTTTTATTTGTCAAAATCGTGTTTCTGTGTTCCGCGCTAATTACATTAAAATAACACTTGAAAAAAATCCGGACCACATTTTTCTTCTGTGCGTCTATGCGTTTCAAGTGCAAAGATTCAACTCTCTTAACAAGTTTGATTTTATTTGTTAAAAGCGTAGTTGTAATTGCACCTCGCGAACGGCGTGTTACCCGACGCTCTAGCATCCTTGTTTGTGAAATGAAATGAAAGGTCAAGATCAGAGAACCTTCAAAATTTGCAACACACTGGCATACATGAACAAGACTGGAAGGCCAGAATTTTGCACTTCATATTGTATGTATTGCCCGCCTTGAGTTTTCAAGAGATTAGGCTAAAAAATTCAGGGTAACCTTTCCATTGCAGGGGAAAGGTAGAAATCTGACAAGTGTTGGATTTATGCACCCTGCGACAGCCAGTTGTCCCATGAAATTGAATCTGTGTGTCTGCCTCGAGTTTAAAAGCAATCAGAATACCCTCTCCTTTCCTATGGCTAGCTTGTATTAATTTTTGACCGTGGTGACTACCTTTGTTAGTAAGTCGCCCGAGCCTCCGAAATTGAACCTTTCTGGGTACCCCTTGTTAAGCGGTTGAGCATTATGGATTTTATTGCTGCCTCCTTCATTGCTCAATTGATCTGGCTGAATATTTCAGGGTACCCTCTACAGTGTCTGGCCTGGTCAGGCCCCAAGTTAGCCAGTGATGTTTTTTAGTGCGTCTCTGCATTTTCAAGTGCAAAGATGCAAGTCTCTTAAAAAGTTACAAACATTGATATTTATTTTATACTTAATAAATACAAAGCTTAAAGGGGCTCTGTTGTGAATCGGCCATTGCCTTTTTTCAAGTGGACGGTCACTAGAAATTACAAAGTACAGTCCCTTTTAGAAAATTGTTTGAAAACTGCATTAAAATTTAAAATTGAAGTTAAATGTTTTCAAAGCGTTAAAACAATTATTAACCAATAAAACCAGCTAATTTCTATGCGAGGTTGGAAATCTTAGAAAGAGATGGCGCTAATTTCAGGGAAAACATAAGACTCTATTTCTGTAATCTATTTGCTTTATCTGTTGAATATAAAAAAATGGATTAGTACAATTGTATAATCACCACAAACTTGTGTTTAGATTTGTTAAGCTTAGATTAAGTTCAAATCATATGGATTTGGGCTTTTATATGTACTTCTGATATCATAATATTATAATCTACATAATAAAGCTTTTTACTCATACATAATATGTTAGCTCAGTTAGCTATAGATGTTGAAATTGCAGTACTAAATTGGCTGAATTTTTTTTAAAGAAACTCATTTTTTGTTCAATAGAAGGTGTTTTCAGGTTTTACGGGTAACACTGGGTACTAATGCTATTAACTTTTAAAATTGAATATTTTCAGCAAAAACACCGACTGGTTTTTAAATCTAATTAAGTAAATTTTACTTTAAGATTTTCATTTGAATTTGATTGCACAAATATGATTAAAGATGTTAGTGTTTAGTGTTAAGTGTTTAGTGTTTAGTGTTTAATGTTAAATGTTTAGTTTTTAGTGTTTAGTTTAGTGTTAAGTGTTGTTTACAATTTATTCTTAACATTGTAAAATTTGAACTGTCAAGTTCCTGTTAAAAGAAATATATTTTGTTAAGTTTAAACAATCTTCTGTAGATCTTGAACACAAGCACAACCTTTTGAGTGTTCACTGGCATGAACCAAAACTTCTGAAACTGACTAAAATATCTCTTTTGCAGGTGAAACAGGGAACCAAACTTAATGAGTGTTTGATGTGTGGTTGCCAAGGTCTAATGCCGGTTCAAATTAGAATTATTAATTCAAATCCTTCCTGTCCTTGAATTGGTGGTTTAAAGTGAAACTGGTAGTTGGTATTGTTATGCAACATACCACAAACTAAATGTTAAATTTGACCATAGGATATAGAAACTCATGGGGAAATTGTTCTTAAAGGAAAATAAGTGATATGTAAAAATTTAAAATGTCAATAATTCAGATATCTTATGTTTTTAAAGCACTTCAGTGCCAAAGTTTGAATTAATTTTTGTTGAAAATTTTAACACAAACTTAAGGAAGTTGAACGAAATGCGCAAGAATTTATTGCATTTATTGCAAGCCTAGATAAATTAGAATAGATTGCTCATGCAGACTTTAAAGCTTAAAATTGTACAACCCCTTGTACATCATGAACTCGTCATTTGAAGAGGTCAGTGAATATGTTTTACTTCTCGGGGTCAATCTAGTTGTAGAGTATTTTTTTACTAATTTATTTAAAGAAGTATGGCTTCTTCCATTAACTATTTTAGCTTTAAACCGTAAACAGGCTTGGCCGGCCCTATAGTTATATTTGTCCTAGCACTCATTTTTGTCACTATTACCGTGAAATTTTGTGACTTTTAATGAATAGTTAATAAGGATTTTTCTATCAATTTTTTTTAATGCATAGGGTAGGGTACAGGGCGGTAAAAAGTCCAGTCTGTGTAAAAAAATCTAAAATGGCCATTAACTTTTTTGTGACTAAAGCTACAGATCTAAAAATTATATTTTAAAAAATTCCTAAAATCCACAACTGGATATCTGTTAAAAGAAAAAACAATTTTACTTTTTTTTGGCTTTTTTTTCAACCTACCCTAGAGCCCAAACTATTAGAATATCTGTCTAATTTTTTTTCAATGAGCTGGCATTGAAAAATTGGTCTATGAATATGCATTTTAATTCTATACCTATTCTCTAAGGCCTTTTTTAATGGGAGGGGCATGGAACGCTCCCCCCCCCCCCTGGCTATTCATAGATTCAGACCCCCAGCCTTTATATGGTTGACTGTTGCCCTGAAAGTCACCATTAAAAATCGTTTAAAATTTGTGTTTCTTTTTTGTTTAAATTGGTACATTTTCAAAAGTAATAAATGTGGACTTTTTTTTCATGACCCTTTTAAAATTAAAATATCCAAAACAGATTCTAAAAGTGAAAATTTCTCAAGTCCAAACACACAAACACAAAACTATACAAGACAAATGTGTAAATGAAAGTAAAGTTTAAAAAATCTTTTTATTGATGAGCCAACAAAATTGAAAGAATTAGAAATTCATAATTATCAAAAAGTATATCTTATATTCATAGGTTGGGAACTTCGTCTCAGTTGTAAAAAGATAAAGTAACAATTTGCAGTAGCCAATCGATTTCTCTATTGCACTCAAGACAAGTTGTAGAGACATCCTGAAATAAAACAAAATTAGGTTGAAAAAATAAACAAAAATAGTTGTAAACAGATTGAAAATGGGTAATTTCCTAAAGAACAATTTTTGGACCCCTCCCCCTCCCTGGCCCCCTCCCCCCTCCTATCAATTTTGTACATAGGATCTCTTATGTAACACATGCATGGATATAAAATTGATCATGTGGCCGCAGCGCCGGTCCCCTAGGCTGTACTAGCCATGGCGCTCAGCTCCCTAGCCTGTCCTAGCCGCAAGGGGTGGCCCTCTAGCCTGTCCTAACTGGAGCATTCGGCCCAGAAATCGTTTTCACATAACCTTACCGTAAAATAATAAAAAAGTAATAATAATTTTGCTCAATAATAAGTGGTCATGGACAAAATTTACAGGAGGAGAGGGGGGGAGGGGGAGAGGGAGAGGGGGGTCCAAAAATTGTATACTAGGACAGAATAAACTTAGTTGATTTAACAAAATAAAATAAAATGGTAATCATACCGAGATTTTCACTGTCCACATTTGTGTGTAAGGGGTGTCTGTTTGTCTTCATTATCACTCACATATCGGCAGCAAGCAGTAACTAATCTTCGTTCTAATCCTTTTATATTCCACTTTCAACTAGTATGTCTGCAATACTTGTAAACAAACCCCCATAAATTTGTACAGAGTACAAATACACTTGCCGTAAACCTTTATATCCAATGTACTGCATGTTAGTAGCTAGTACCATAGCTAACTGGCAATTTTCAATTTCAACTGTAACCCTCCGGTATGTTGAAGACGACATGAGCAATCTATTCTAATTTATCTAGGATTGCAAGCTATAAAATAAATTAACTTTTGCACATGGCACAAATATGACTTACTTGCATTGAAAACCCTACAAATAAGGATCAAAGTTTAAAGCAGACTTTTTTCTGTTCAAATTCTCACCAATTATCATTTCTCATTGCTGAGAATTTAAGTAATAGAAGTAATGTTACCATAAAGGTGGTGCAAGAGAAGCCCCATCTTGGACTAGCAACAGGGACTGGTGGCAGTTCTGTTACAGTATCTAAACATTGTACTTATTTAATAAAAGACACGGTTTTGGTTTTTTTTTGTTTCGTATTTTTCATTTCTTCCACCTTATTATCGAAACAATCACTTTGTTTTTAAGAAAATCGAAAACGATCAAAGTGAAGAGTTAATTAGCATGCATTACAAGTTTGGGATACCCTTGAACTTTTATTTAAGCAATTGAATTTTATATCAATTTCCAAAAATATTACTTCTATCTGTTGCGTCTATAAGGAGAAAATGGTTAAAACAACTCATACTGAAGAACGCAGGATCGTTAAATAAGTTTACCAGGATCATAGATAGTTCAATTCATTTCAAAACTAATCATCAAGATATCAGTATTACAAGTTCATATGTGGTTTATATATCATATAATTTTTATTTTTATATGCAATGTACTTTTGAGAACAATTTTTTTACCGTTAGGTGTCTCTCCCAAATAAAATCTCTGAAATAACGTGAGGAGAAACACCACAACACACCGCGAAACAGCCAATTCTCTTGGGTAACAGTTGCATGGATTTGCAGTAAATGACATTTTTGGCACAAAATTCTGCATTATTTTGTATCAATACAAAACCAGTTTTGCACAAAATTGTGCATTCATTCGAAATAGATTAATTTGTTTGCACAAAATTTAGCATGATTACGAAATTTAAATCAGAAATTTTAAATAATATTTGCATGAATACAGGTCATTTTTGCATGTAATTTTGCAATGCCCATGAATACGATAAATTGAAATTTTTCTACAGCAGTGTGCATGAAAACGAAATTAAGTAATATTTGTTTGTCATGCCTGGAGAGAAATCGTACTTGCAGCGAAGTCTGGTTTTGCTATGCAGCAAAGTGGAAGATTCTTTAAACATAAACAAACTCTTGGAAGGAACAGATTTGTGTCAGTTCTAATATCAGGGGTATGATCCCTCCCCCTGCCCTATTATGCTTGCACATACAATTTCGACTTTTCAACAGAAATAAATTAATATTTATTTTTTATTATTTCAGGGTTAAGACTTCAAGGTTTCTCCAAATAAAGTGTGTTTAGGCTTATTAGCCTATACTAAAATTCATTGTTTTGTAGTAAAAAGTACTTCTACCCACCAAACCATATTACGTTTCTTACAAAATTTCATTTTCTGTTTCGTTTCTGTATCGTTTCTGTAACGTTACATGAAACGTAACGTTACATAACATTTTAGAACCGTATTTGAAACGTTTCTGAATACCAATCCAAATTGTATGTTAATGAGCAATTGTATTTGTCAATTATAATGTTAATTAATTCATGCGTCAAAATGTGTAAATTCTAATCTTTTTAAAAAGTTTTCAAACTTCGTTTTTGAATCGTAAAGTTACGTAACGGATTTTAAAAAAAGAAATTTGAATAATACAGCTGATTTTATATCTTTATGGATAGATAGATAGATAGATCGTTAACAAAATTTTTGCAAATTTTGCATGAACATCTTGAATATCTTTTATACATCATTAAAAAATAGGACTTTATTTGGTTCCAATGATATAGTGATTAGAAAATTAGAGTTTGTGGCAAAGACTCAATTCCTTTAATATAAAATGCTAATTATCCATGATACTGGATGTTATTTAATAGTGGAGTATTTTCAATGATTTTTTATTTACTGTATATTTTTAATCTTTTTCTTTTCTACAGTACATAACATTACACTGTATGTGTTCTCTTAAATATGAAAAACAAAGACATGATAAGTATATACTGTTCTCTACAGATTTAGGATAAGGATTTAGTGTTCTCTATATTAGTAAGATATATTTAGTGTTCTATGTAGAATATTAAGGGAAGTACTAAGTATATATACGTATATAAGATTTTTTTCTTCAGATATTTTTTTGCATTTGAACATTTTAAAACAAAATTTGAAAGGTTTTTTATTAATGTTTTACGTAACTAAAATGTTAATAGTTGATATTTTTTACGATCTTAAAACGTTTCCGGGAAACGATACTGGAAAACGTTTCAGTAACGTAAAAAGTGGTTCATTTTACGTAGCATTCACGTATCAGGAAAACGAAGCCATAATGTAACGCTACCTTACATAACGTTTCTGTAACGTTCTAGAAACGAAATTTGGTTTGTCGGGTAGAGGTTCAAAACCCATAGACGTAAATGAAACATTTCTCTCTAAAATGCCATGTTAAACTTCAAAATTAAGCATAATATTCTAAAATGTGCTCCTCCCATTTCCAAAGATATTAATTGCTTGTTAACCAACTAAACGTCGTTTTATTCTACTGCAATGAGTGCCTAGTAGATATATAATGAGGGGGAAGCCATAAAAAGATTGTAATTTAAATTGCCCTTCTAGCCTTCGAAATGTACATGGTCCTTTTTCTAAAGATTTTCAAACAAAAATTGAAAATGTGCAATTTTTTTACTCTGACGCATAAAATGTAAAGTAAAATTATGATTTAAATATATTCAAAATTATCATTGAAAAGGAGACTGAGCACATTTTAGCATATTAGGTCCATGGCATTTCAGAGAAAAATGTTTAATTGACAACCCCTCCCCCCCATTTTTCCAATGCATTTTAGAAAAAAATGTTCAATTGACAACCCCCCCCCCCATTTGTGGACAATGTACCTCAAGAAGCACTTGTCTTGCGACCAGTCCCATATTACGACGAGATAGGTCGGGTTTTGTCAGATTACCAAACTGGTCACAATACGACCAGTCCCCTTAGGTTGTGTTAGGTCAGGTTAGAATTTTCAAATATTAAGATATAATACCCAAATATTTGAAAAAATAATATTTTTGAAAACTTGGATTTTTATGGAATTAATTGATGTTTTCGGAAAAATCAATGTCAGTAAATTGTGAATTTTGTGACAAATAGAAGTTCTTTTCTACAACATTTGTAGCAGGTATACATTAGTGTGTAAGTATGAAAATTAATGAATGAATCGTATGATATATTGAATGTATGAACCTCAGGAGGGTGGTCATGGTGTGATATGAAAGGGGTGGGTGTGGGACAACAGTAGGACAGTTATGGTGAAAATGTAATACCAGGGGGGGGAGGGTTAAAGGGTAGTAGTACAAATAGAATAAATTAGGCTCTGTTCAGTGTATAATAAATAGGATAACAAAATAACTAGTGTGGTCGTGGACGTCAAAACTTTGGTTATTTGGACATCAAAAGTTTGGTCATTTGGAAGTCAAAAGTTTGGTCATTTGGACGTCCAAAGTGACATTATTTTGACTTCGAAAATTAGGTTGTGCAGACGTAAGAATCCTTGCGTTGAACGTCCTCAACACCTAAAATTTGACGTCGCCGGATGTCCCACTGGTAATTATTGATGTCCTCATGACATCCTTAGGACAACCTCTGGCTTCTAGGGACAGACCCAAGTGATGTTATGCGTCAAAAGGATGGATTGAAATTACGGAAAATTGGTCATTAACTCACATAAATTAAATTATTATTGTTAGTTTATATTTCCAGAAACTTGCGCTTTGCCGTGTAACATAACCAGAGTTTGCTGCAGGTACGAGTTCTCTCTATTACACCCGTAAATGGTGTAATAATCCTTAAACCTGAAAATATGGGCTCATTCAGCCAGCATGTGTGAGCCCCAAGCAGGCTGGATTATAGTTGAGTCTGATTGGTTTAATCGTGAATTGTTCATCATATCCTGGAATTGTTCCTCGAAATTTAATGAAATAACGAAATAGCTCGAAATAACTAAATAGCTCAAAATAAAAAAAGAAATAGCTTAAAATAAAAAAAATATAAAATTTCCTGCAAAAAATGTTAACTGAAAACCCTACAAGCAGCCTTCCAATTATCCTGTACCATGACAAGCAATGTATGCATTGACAAAAATGTGTCTTCTTTTTCCTTGAGGTAAAAAAGTCAATTAATTAAAGCAATCTAAAAAAAAAATTTTACTGGTTAAATCATACACAATGGTTTTAACACTCAAACAAAAAAAAATTCTACAACAATACTTTTGCAAAATTATAATCAATTACTTCTCAATTATAAGTTTTACAAAACAAATTAAACTTTTCTGGTTCCAGATCAATACTAAAGTCGCCAAAATGTCCAGGTTTTTATTTTCACACTTTTATTTATTATTATTATTTCTTTCTGCACAGTAAATTTTGCTTTTATCATTTTAGTTAGTTTATACTTCCAGCAGAAGCAAACTTTTGCTCAAAAATTCGCAAACTTGCTTGCGTATTTCACAAACTACATGGCAAACACGAAAAATTAAACAAATGTTTTCAAAATAAAATCAAGAATGAAACAAAATAGATCATTATTTCTATCCTTTTCAAATACGATTAACAACCCTAACAGACTGTAAATATAAAACTTTAAAATCTTGAATTAGATAAGAGTATCAGCAATATTTATCAATTTGAAATTATATGCATTAGTTTTACCAGTATATTTGTAATCAAAACCATTCTTAACACTAAGTTGAAATAGATAATCTAAATAGTCCTTTGATTAATTAATACTAATTAATTAAATGCAAAGGGAGCTATCAATTAATAAAGATAAATAACATTGAGAAAAAGGTGAATAACTGTTGGATTGTCTATGTATACTATTGTATCCTATGATCATGTTATCAAAATTAAGTATCTACCTGTTATAATATCATATAATCTTACAGACGTTTCACTCACTAACAGAAAATACTTGTCTCCATGTCTGAAAGCATTTTAATCTTTGCAAAATTTCAATATTTTTAATATTTATAATCCACATAAATATAAAATATTTAAGAAAGATTGGCATACACATGCATAATGTCAACAATTTAAAAAGTGGTCCAAGATATAAAAAAAATGTAAAGCCTAAAACTGATGGGAATAAGTTTACATAGTATAGGAAAAAATTTATTTACATTATAAAAAAATAACAAATAATGATTCATACTAATGAATCAAAGAAAGCAGAAGTTCTCTGGAAGACTCTCCGCCTTTACTCTGATGATGATGATTGATGACAGATTATACATCATAAAGGTTCTCTTGCAATTTATCCACTTAGTGACAAAATACATTTTACATTTACATGATCTATGTATATGATCCTTGAAGATCATTCTTCTATTCTTTTTAACTCCCTGTCTTCCCTGTAGGGGTTTTAACTTTGGGAATAAAATAAATGTTCATTATTTCTTGAGTCTCTGGATTGTGCAATATCAAGATCATAGTGACCTTATAGATCTCAATAGCCAAGGAACATTACTACACTAGCTCCACTTCCTTACTCTTGCTCCTTTTCTAACCTAAACAAAGAAATCATTATTATTGAAATACAAATTTCTGGAGAATATTATGCTGTGGCCTGGGGTGAGAACTAGGATGTCATTAGATTGAGTTCAATGATTGAATTAAATACTGCTGATCTAGTTTCTGACCTACTTCTCCCCCTCTATACTCTATTGATATTTATACTCCCTGTCCTTTGCAGTTTTTTAAGAGATGTTGCTCTGGTGCTGGTTGAGGCTCTCCTCTCACTCTTGGACGTCTGTGTGGTATTAAAGGTCTCTTTACCCATATCTTTATTGTGCCAATTGGGCAATAGAAAACATTCCCCGTTAAGTCATTTTACCTCTGGTCCATGCTGATCCTGGCTTTGGTAATAACAAAACTTCTTAAAACCTTATTAAAAGAGAAAAACATAAATATACTAAAACTCAAAATATTGTGAAAAACTATGTAACTATGTGAAATCTTCATCATAATTCAAAGTAATATATAAAAACTTTAAGAACATCAATGGAAAAATCTAAAAACATCCATATTGAATTAGTAAACTAAAAGGAATCAAAATAATAAGTTCTTCTGAAATATATCACTAAGTATTTAAAGGGCAGTTTGAATCATATCAAAATAGAAACTTACAACTGAGATTCAACCCATGCTGTTCTGTAGATAATGCATAATACTCTTCTGACTCCTTATTAGCCAATATTCAAGCACAATTCATTAGAATTAAAATCCAAAGGAATAAATGGAATGTATAATTTTTTAACAGCAACATGAAAATTTTCTAACAAATTATCCATTTATAAGTACTGGTCCATATAAATCAAAGGATTGCCTTGTATTAAATCATGTTTGATATAGTAATCCTCAAAAAAACACAAAAAGTATAGAAGACCAAAGAAATAAAAAAAAAAATGAAGAATAGGAACGGTAGAGCTCAACCAACAATTGAGGCTGAGTTTAAAAGATAAAATACTCCACTCTCCACCCTCACCAGGCTTATCAGGAAAACTATAAAAAAAAATTATTTCTGCATCTGTAATTCAAATCAATGACTTAAGTAAAATGATTTAAAAAATTTGATAAAGATTGCAATAATAAAAGACAGTAGTATTGATAAATGCTGGCATAATTATCTGTCCAAACATTTATACTTATCATCAGAATCATGACCCTCTTTGAACTCAATCATCTAATCATAGGTCTGCACCTTCTTAGGACATTTCTTCTCCTTCTTCACTTGCTTTTTCTTCCTCTTCTCTGGAACAACCTTCTTTGCCTCTGGTTTATGATCATTTATCCCCGGAATCCTCTCTGTCCTCCAAGTTAATCATCACCACATCCTTGGAACTATTCTCATTTAAAATTGACTCCTCAGATTTCTTTATCACAATCCTTCTCCAGGCTCTGAAATTGCACTACCTCCTCATTACTGAACCTCTTCCTGCAAGATTTAGACCTAGAACAAGATCTATTCCTCTTCCTTCCTTTCCTCCAAGAGATCCACTTTGGCTGTTGGCAGTTTAGGAATATTCTCCAAGCATAAAGTCTGGTGCTCCTGACCTTTAACAGACAATAAATCCTTACATCTAACCTCTCTAGATTGGAATAACTCCCAATGCTTCTTCTTTAACCGTCTATGTCCGAACTTAACATTTTTCAAAATACTTTTTTTTAATTTTCAATTTTTTTTAGAAATGTTCCCTGAGGAACAGACCTATTTTTATTTTTTTTCAAACAATTTTTACTTTTAGAGATAGGGACAGCGATCAATATTGACTGCTTCGTCAACAAGGGATTTTAAAATGGTCAAAATCAACTGCTCCAGAACAAAGCAAAGTTTGTAATTTTTTCTATTAATGTAAATATATCTATAGTTAAACATTGAAAACAGCTTGTTTGTAGTTTGTAGTTCAAATATCTTGACACATGGAGGCCTAAAAAAGGGGGGGGGGCAATTACCCCCCCATCCCCCTTTTATAACATTACTCATCCCCCCTCCACCTTCATAACATTACTCAGCAGTCAGCCCTGGTTAAGTGAAATCTTGGAGGTTTCAGACCCCAAAGGGTTCTGAGCCCCATCCCCCCTGAAAAAAAAGTTTTAAGTCCCCTCTGTACAAAATCCTGTATACGCCCCTGTTATCTTCTAGAACTAGTTTTCATAAATTTTATACTAAGTAATAGATTTACCGTTCAGACCTTATTCATTTTCTCCCGTACATTCACATAAATCATGTTTCCATCCCATCCCGTCCCTCCCTTCCCATCCCTCCCTTCCCATCCCATCCCTGCCTTCCCATTCCTCCCTTCCCATTCATCCCATCCCTCCCTTCCCTTTCACATCCCTTCCATCCCTCCCTTCCCATTGCATCCCATCCATCCCTTCACCACCCTACCATTACCATCTTATATCATCCCTACCTTCCCATTCCATCCCTACCTCACTTTCATGAATCCACTTCATTCCTCCCTCCTTTCTCATTCCTCCCTTCCCATCCCTTCCTTCCAATCCTTCCCTTCCTATTCAATCCACCCCTCCCATCCGCTGCAGTTTATATTATTTTGATACTTGGGGAAGCCATCTATTTTGCCCTACTGTTATGTCCCCCACATGTACGAGGGGGTCAATTAAGACAGCTCAAAACAGCTGACAAAATTATACTAAAACAATAATTTAAACCATTAAAATGTGAATTATATAAAAAGTAATTACTTTAGACGTATTTTTTTAAACATAAACAAAAAAAACGAAAATGTTAACTTTGTAAAAAAGTGAAGGGGGTCTCACATTTTTGTCTAATTTTTGAATATCCTCTCAATACCTTTCAAGATCTTCACTGAGTAAAAACAAAAACAAGCAAAAATATACTTGAACTTGGTTTCTGGGTTCTCAAGTTACGCAAAACTTTAAAAAAACAAATTAATTTGTCAACCAATAAGGGGGTAATGATAAAGTGAGCGGTCAATATGGACCGCTTCGTACATAGACGGTTAAACTTTCTTCCTTCTAAAAAACTATCCTTGACATTCAACAAGAACTTCTCATCTAGCTCCGGGATCCTCATTCCTTCCATGTTCAACAGCCTCTTGAAGATTAGCCTCAGACCCTGATATACTCTAAAGTAGAATTAATGGAATCCCGGATCATCAATCAGTCTAACCAAGAAATTTCTAATCTTGTTGGGATTCATCCTCACACATTCAAAGATTGAGTAGGCATGGGAATTCGTTTCCAGCTAAGGAAAGTAGGAGGTAAAACCACTAAGCAGAAGAAAGCCTTTAAAGGCTTTAAAGGGAGTGTTCGCGAAAAATGAAAGGGGGTATAGGCTTAATGCAATAAAAAAGCGCTTTTGATCGCTAATAATCTTACTTCTATCTGTTGCGTCTATAAGGAGAAAATTGTTAAAGATGTCTCATAATGAATAACTTAGCGTCCATACAAATTGAGAAAATTGCAACATAAGACTTAGACCGTAAAAAAAATCAATTTAATTTTAAATAAATCATTCAGATAATCCAACCTACAGTCATCGATTATCTTTCGCCACATTTGTATATAGTTTTTTATATAGAATTTAAAACTTTTATTGAAAACCAGAAACGGACCCAAAAAAAGAGGAAACCGATCAACAAACTGAGAATTTAAAACTTTTTTTGAAAACCGTAAATGGACCCAAAAAATGAGGAAAAAGACCCAAAAAAAAGAGGAAAACGATCAACAAACTGAGAATTAGAAACTTTTTTTGAAAACCGGAAACGGACCCAAAAAATGAGGAAACTGACCCAAAAAAAGAGAAAACCAATCAACAAACTGAGTATTTAAAACTTTTACTGAAAACTGGAAACAGACCCAAAAAATGAGGAAACGGACCTAAAAAAAGAGGAAACCGATCAACAAACTGAGAATTTGAAAATTTTTTTGAAAATCTGACACGGACCCTAAAACAGAGGAAACCAATCATTAAACTGAGAATATAAAACTTTTTCTGAAAATCGGAAATGGACCCAAAAAAAGAGGAAACTGACCCAAAAAGAGGGGTAACCGATCAACAAACTGAGAATTTGAAACTTTTACTGAATATCGGAAATGGACCCAAAAACAGAGGAAACGGATCCAAAAAAGAGGAAACCAATCAACAAACTGAGATTTTAACTTTTTTTGAAAACCGGAAACTGACCCAAAATATTTGGAAATCCCTCAACTCTTTTTAGTTTTTGAGGGATTTCCGATAATTCTTGAAACTCACTTTTGGGTCCATTTCCGTAAAGAGGCATTTCCATAGCACCCATGTGCAAAGCAGTCGATAATGACCACTCAAAAAAGCTGCCAAAATTATACTAGAACAATAATTTTAACCATTAAAATGTGAATTATATAAAAAGTAATTACTTTAGAAGTATTTTTTAAACAAAAATCACAAAAATGTTAACTTTGTAAAAAAGTAAAGGGGGCCTCACATTTTGTCTAATTTTTGCATATCCTCTCATTACCTATCAAGATCTTCACTGAATAAAAACAAAAACAAGCAAAAACATGCTTGAATTTGGTTTCTGGGAACCAAAGTTATGCAAAACTTAAAAAAACAAATTAATTTGGAAAGGGATAAGAGGTTAAAGGGTGACTAAAGTGAGCAGTAAATATCAACCGCTTCATACATAGACNCCCTCCCAGCACTCTTCTTTTATTCACTCACAGAGGATGTCCTGAGGATTTCCTTAAAAAATTCTTTCTGTCAACTGTCTTCACATCTTCACGTCTTCATCATCTTTATGTTCTTCATAGTCTGAGGACTCTGGGTCATCCTCCTCTTGCCAAAATTTTATGAGATGACCCAATCAGTGGGACTCAAACCACTGAATTGAGTATATTGTCTAATAATTAAATAATTTCTTAGTGTACTATCAAGAATTACAAATCTTGCTTTCAGTAAAAAAATACCTACCTAAAGCCTCAGTTTTTTTTTTATTTGGTCTCTCAAGTACATCCAATGTCTGAAGATTCTGATTCCTCAAGGACATCCATTGTCTAAGGACTCTGATACCTCCTCTATCAGGAACCAGATGCATCAGTTTCAGAGGCAACAAACCGACTAGAAATCTTCTTGTTTAAAACTTTAAGTTATTTAATATTCACTGATTTAAATATTTAAATGTTTAAAAACCTAAGCAGATTTGCTATTTGGTCATCTCTGAGTTTCAACTTTAAATGGTTACAACTTAAAGGTTCACTTTCAACTGCAGGGCTTACCTTATCTGGTAAAATATGTTAGTACCCCCCCCCCCTCTATCCTGTATGGTTTGTGTGAATTGCATGGTTAATTTATACCTGCTAGGTGAATATGTGGCCATAGAACTAAAGATAGCTCACATTCATACCCTTAAGGGGGGGGGAGGGGCTATAAGGATATTTTAAGTAAATAGGGAGGAGGGAGGGGGGGAAGGCTTCGTTTCTACTTTTTCATACATTTGCATCTAAAAAAATAATTATTATTAAGTAACAATTTTGCGGAAAATCCGCGGAAATTCCCAGGATCAAATATGTGGAGAACAGGCTAAAATGGGTATAGGACAAATGCACACATGAATGAAATAAGATATAGTCATAAAACTGAGGGTTGTCTTGGCTTTGTGTCTTGGAAAGATCTCTAACAAATGGGGAAGAAATATGGGGGAATAGGCATAAATGGGGACAGAAAACTAATGTGGATGAAATATGATTTTGTCCTAAAACTGAGGGTCGTCTTGGCCTTATGTCTTGGCAAGACTGCCAAAAGTTGTGGACAAAATATGGGGAGGAACAGGCTAAATTAGGGATGGGTGAAACAAGTCTTATTTTGACTCGACACAAGACTGCTTCAAGACGTGGGCGATAACAGAAAACACGCCTGAAAAAGGGGACGAGGAGCAAGATACCCAAATATTTTAATGGTTAGATCTCAAATTACAACATTTTTGATGAAATTTGATACTTTTAGGAAAATTGAAGGTCTTGGGCAGTCTCCAGGACGTCCTCCACCTCATCCAGGAACTTGTGTTCTTGCTGGGTTCTTCTTATCTCAGAGCTGATTTATGTTTAACAGTCTCTATTGCTACTACTTCCAGTGTAAGTTATGTTTGATCTGCAGTCCATTGCTTGAGACACACAGACATGGGGGAGAGGACGGCTGGGGATTGCTACAGACATGCATTTGTTTTTTTCACACTAAAAAATTACAATTATTCACTATCTGTATTCTAAAATTGCAAATTGCAAAAACTTATTTATCAGAACTAGCAAAGGATAGTGAACTTGATTTAAATGCCACAAACAGTTTACTGGCTTGGATTATGCTTAAGTCGTCTTTGTGTCCTGGCTAGAGTGGAGCCAAAACACAATCATGAACAATTGTAAACTTTAACAAATCAGTCAGACATGTTTGGCTTTTTAAAAGGTGTACTCAAAAATTGAAGCATGTTACCATGTTACCATTTAAAAGTGTTCAAAGTTAAGGGAAATATAAAGCCTAAAACTGATAATTTTAATGGGTATGGAAAAAAATATATTTACAGTGTAAAAAGAACAAATAATGATTGATACTAATATTTTAGCCTCGCAAACCTTATTTTCTGCTCCCTCCTGTGTCTAAGCCTGGTGTTCTGAATTGACATGAGTTATTTGAAAACGTATCCACCCTCAAAGTAGGAGTTATGCACGTCAAATTTGCACTCAAACTCAGGATTTACAGATCTTCAAAGAGTTTAATATGTCTCAAATGAATCCGAAAGAAGTTTTTCACAACACTGCATATTCAGTTCAACTACCTTACATAACCGGTCACTTCCTTTAAAGTCATCTCCTGACATTGCAAGTCTAATACTTGATGCAAACACTGAACAAAAAAAAGCAGCAAAATGGTTTAAAGCAAATCGTTTGTCACTAAATGTCTTCAAAACAAAGTATATATTATTTAGAAATAGAAATATGCACTTTGACCCCAACAGTTGTAATATTTCAATAGGAAATGAGATACGTGAAAGGATTGATAATGACTGTGTGAACAAATATTTCAAATTTGTTGGACTTAAACTTGACGAATTTTTAAATTGGGATTTTCAAATTGAACATTTCTGGAATAAAATTGCTAGCTCAATCTTTGCATTGTCTTAAATTAGGAATATCTTACCATTAAATATTCCTCTACTTGTTTATAACTCTCTTGTAAGGCCTCATATTGAATATGGAATTGTTACTTGGGGAGGGGTTAAAAACTCTAAACTGCAAAAAATCAGATCTTTGCAAAAAAAAAGGCAATCAGAGCAGTTAATAAAAGTACTTTCAAGGCACATTCAAATCCATTATTTTCAAAACTGAAAGTTCTTGATCTTGATGATACATACAAACTTTGTGATCTGACATTTATGCATGGATACTTTAATGATAACCTTCCCTCTTCCTTCCTTAGTCTTTAGCTAAATCGAATAGAACAAAATCGTATAAACTAGAACAGGTTTTAAATAGAAATTTAGAAGGCTTTTCATCCCCACAATGCTTCCCAAATTGTGGATTGAAATTGAAATTGACCTTAAAGAAACTAAATCTGCAAAAATATTTAAACAAAGATTAATCAATATTTATCTTGAGAATTATGAGAGGTTTAAAAGTGAAAAACCTAGCTGTTTATGTTGTGAATACATTTTATATAAAAAAAACTAAAATAACTGAAACATTATTAGCTTATTTCTGTTTCTGTAACTACCATCATTAACACCCCGTTTTTTTTATTTTTCTCTACATAAAAGTCCCTCTGATCTCACCCTGCCACATGATCACCTGACAATCTCCTTCCTTCCAATCAACTCCTTACCTATTCAAAAGCATATCTCGATATGTGTAACAAATTATATTCAGTATTGTTAATTAACTTCGGGCCAACCACTCTAAACAACCCACCCTGGTTAGGCGGGTCCAAACTGCATAGTAAATTGTGATTGCTTATTCGTATTATCTCATGCTTTGTAGTTGAATAAATATATGAATGAATGATCTAGCACTTTATACAAAAGAGCTAATAAGCTGTGATGCTTATAGGCCGGACTACTTACAATCCGAGCTTTGCTCTGGGACTGTATGAGGAGTGAAGGGATTGCATCAATGGACCTATCCTTATTCCAAGCTATTGAGCTAACACTTGTTACAATAATACACATAATAATAAATATTTATTGCAAACCTGACAACACATGTGTGTCCTCCATCTACTTGAAAGGTTGGTCCTTGAAATGGGATTCCAGGAACTAGAAAAAAATCTTAATAAAATGGGGTGCAATGTGCTTGGTTTTTTTTAAGCTCCCCCCCCCATGGGGTGTTTTAGGAAGTCAGGAGGGGGGCCTGACTTTTGTCACAACCTTTTTTTTTAATGCATATGTTTTATGATCAGAAAGAACAAAATAAATGTAACCGTTATCTATATTGTAATAAATATAGTAATAGCCCTATTCATATGTCTTGTATATATATAACTACCCGTGGAAACCTCAAGTCAGCCTTTTCTGATCAAAGTTTAGCTAAAGTTATGCAGAAAAGATAATTTTTAAGTCAGTAACTCTTAACTGTAAAACCTTACTATAAGGGCCAGCCAGGTCAACAATCTAGTCATACCTCAAAAGGGAAAGGATCAGGTTTCATACCCCCTCTGTGTGACGCCCTCCATCATAAATCATTTGAAAATTTGTCTGCCCTTGTGTGTCTGTTTTAGCAGCTGCAGCTGCAGCTGCTAGGTGACAACTTGGACAGCTTGCTGGCCTTACCATATTTTGTTTGGTTAACACAAGTTAACTAAAAGGGCTAACTTTCTAAAATGATTCCTTATGTCAGGGAAGTCATCTTAACATAGAGCTAGCCCTAATGACCTCTAATGGCCTCCACAAATAGAAAATATTTCAATTATGGCTTTATGCATATTAAACAAAAGCTAGGAACCCAGGGAATATAGTAGCAGAAACAAATCCAATGTTTGACCTTCTAATGACCTCTTACGACCTCAAATGACCTAAATGACATCTAAAAATGAAAATGTTTTAACTATGGCTTTATGCATATCAATTAAAAGCTAGGAACCCCAGGAATACAGTAGCAGTAACGAATCCAGTGTTTAACCTTCTAATGACCTATAACGACTTTTAATGACCTAAAAGACCTCCTAAAATGAAAATGTTTTAACTATGGGTTTATGCATATCAAACAAAAGCTTGGAAAGGAGGAAATACAGTAGCAGCAACCAATCCAGTGTTTGACATTCTAATGACCTCTAACGAACTCTAATGACCTCCCAAAATAAAATTGTTTTTACTATGGTTTTAAGCATATCAAATGAAAGCTAGGACCCAGGGAAAACAGTAGCAGCAACGCAGCCAGTGTTTGACTTTCTAACAACCTTTAATGACCAAATTGAAAATCTGTATATAAATTTGGCTTGTCTGTCTGTTTTTCTGTCTGTCTGTCTGTTTGTATCCAATAAACGTCAAAACGGCTGAACCGATCGGGCCCAAATTTTTTGTGGGACATCTAGGGACCCCAGGGAAGGTTTATGAATGATTGAAATTTTAAAAATTTGTGTTTTAAAGGTTTTTAATTTTATAAAAAACTTTAAATTTTTGAAAATCCGCGAATTTTTTTTAAAAATCTGCAAAAAATTTTTCATCTTTGTTTTGAAATGTAAAACAAAAAGAACATGTTCACAATTTAAATAGAAGATGGGCGCGAAGCGCCCTAAAAGCCTAGAAAGAGCGCCTTGAATTTTTAGTGTATGAATATATTTCTAACAAAAGCTAGGAACTAGAGAATACAGTGGCAGCAACAAATCCAGGGTTTGACCTTCTAATGACCTAAAACGACCTATAATAACCTCAATGAAAATATTTAAATATGACTTTAGGCATGTCAAACAAACCCACAAAGAATCGAGTGGCAGCAATGAATCATGTTTTTGACTTTCTATTGACCTCTTACAACCATTAATAACCTCCAAATTGAAAATGTTTTAAATATGGATTTACGTATTTCAATCAAAAGCTAGGAACCAGGGGCGGATATAAGGATTTTACCCCCCCCTAGAAAAATATCATGATGTATATCAAATTATTGGTTTTAATTGGGTTTGATTTGCATTTTCCACTCATTTCTGGGATTTACAAACTCAATCTAATAAAGGCTTCATTACATACCTTTCAGCTTTCAACTTGTTTTATACCCTTCATTATAGTCATTCATTTTACATTAACTACAAAGATCTGTAAAAAAACTGAATTTATTTTATTTTAACTAAACTTTTTAACCCCCCTTATATCCGCCACTGCTAGGAACCTAGACAATACAGTAGTGGTGTAATTATTAATCTATTTGGATTTGGACTATGGAGGTCATTTTAGTAAATTAGTGGTCATAAGATTGTCAAACACTGGATTCACTGCTGCTACTGTATTCCGTGGAGTCCTAGTTTTCGTTTGATATGCATTAAGTCATGGTTGAAACATTTTCATTTTAGGAGATCATTTAGGTCATTAGATGTCGTTAGAGGTTCTTAGAAGGTCAAACACTGAATTAGTTGCTGCTACTGTTTTCCTGGGGTTCCTAGCTTTTAATTGATAGGCATGAACCCATAGTTAAAATATTTTCATTTTGGGAGGTCATTTAGGTCATTAGAGGTCTTAAGAGGTAATTAGCAGGTCAAACACTGGATTTGTTGCTGCTACTGTATTCCCTGGGTTCCTAGCTTTTGTTTGATATGCATACTGCCATAGTAGAAACTATTTGTGGAGGTCATTAGAGGTAATTAGAGGTCATTAGAGGTCATTAGAAGGTCAAACACTGGATTCCTTGAGGCTACTGTATTCCTGGGTTTTCAAGGGTATGTTTGTTAATTCTGAACAGACCTATTCATACATTTCAATACATTTCACCTGTACTATTAAGCCCAAAATAAAGTTTTGTTGAATATGAACCACTGTTGAATTACAGTCAGAAATCTACCATTGCTCCTCAGAGAGTATAGAGTGCTATAGCTTTATGTGTCCATAAATACATACTTAGACCTACCATTGTTCGGTAGAGATGATAGAGTTTGAGAGAGTTGTATCTGGATTGATACTTACTTAAGAATACCTGTGAGAGTGTTATATCTGGATTGATACATACTAAAGAATACAGAGAGAGAGAGAGTTGTATCTGAATGGATACAGACTTAAAGTAATATTGGAGTAAGGCATTTGTTACAAAAGTAGTGGCTGTATTAAGACCTATGAACCCTAGTTAACCCTAAACAGGCGGGGGGGGGCGCAAACGCCCCCCCCTGTAGTTTTTTTGTCCTAGACAGAATGGAGACAGAATGGAGACAGAATGGCAGGAGGCTTGGTGACGTCACAGTGGCCATGAGACAGTTTCACGGAGCCTGGAGGGCATTTTGCAAAGCTTGAGGCTCGGAGGTCATTGTTGCGGGGATCATGACGCCTCTGGACCCCCTCCCTCAGCAAGCACGCCAGAGTGCCTGTTATGTCTCTCTAGTTAAATGAAATACATATTTCAAAAGTTTTCCGTCGGAGTTTCAAACTTCAACGCAACATTATAATTTCTTATAACCTTCAATCAAAAAAAGATTCTTAAGCAGCCGAGCCTTATTTGATTTAAAGAAGATGTATTTGGTTTAAAACCTCCATCTTTCTTTTCTTCATTATTATCAGTGTTGCTGATAGATAAATATACTTATATGTAGCTTTTAAAAATAAATGTTGCCCTTCCTCACTAAAAGGTCAAGCAACTATCAGGTCCATAACAGCACTGAACCATGAATTAGAGAATTTATAATTAAACTTACGGTTTTCTTTAAAGTATATAGATGATCCATCTCTATGATCTATATAATAAAATATTCAGAATTAGTTTTACATTTTGCAAAAAGTTTAAAATAAAATTGTTAAAATAAGTTAATAACACACCTGTCAAGTAAAGCCTATCATGTACTATTACAGATGACGTTAAGTTACTCCAGCTCTTCTCCAATGTTTCAGACAGTATAAAATCTGGAAGCAATACAAATAGTTTTACTTTAATCTGAACTAAAAGTACAATTAAATGCACAAGACAAGAAATGCCACAATTAAACCCAAAAAGATTGTTTTACTTTCCTTCATTACCCCAACTTGTAAATTGATAGTAGTTATTGAAAATGAACATAAAAGTGTTGTTATAAAAACTGAAGCAACTTGTAAATTGATAGTAGTTATTGAAAATGAACATAAAAGTGTTGTTATAAAAACAGAAGCAACTTGTAAATTGATAGTAGTTATTGAAAATGAACAGAAAAGTGTTGTTATAAAAACAGAAGCAACTTGTAAATTGATAGTAGTTATTGAAAATGAACAGAAAAGTGTTGTTATAAAAACTGAAGCAACTTGTAAATTTCCAAAATCAGTGAAGAAGAAAAGTACTTTTAATTCAATTTTTTAAGATGAACAGATTATTTTGAAAAAACAATGGCAATTTTTAAACTACAAGAAACAAATATAAACAAATAACACTGCAAAAACTTTTTTGAATTATTTATATTTCTAAAATTGTTTCCTGGGTTAACATAAGTATACATTTCCATTTCCATATTTAGTCCACAAATGGTCACAATTGATCCCCTAAAAGCAAAAAAAGTAAAATAAAAATAAATAAATAGAAATATAGATTTGATCCTGTTTTTCTTGCATTTGGTCCAAAATCAGTGCATTGTGCATTATCAGCATTTTAGGCAGGTTAGAATATAACTTTTGTATTCTAAAGATTTGAACAATTCTTGCAAGAATGAACTTGAATCCATTAACCTTAGATTGCTTTAAATAATAAGGTCAAAAAGCTATTAAAAAATTTTTAGACAAGTTACAATTATTTGTGAGTTAATAAATTGTAACTGCATTGAAACCTCTGTTGAGAAAACATTGTTGACTCATACAATTGATGGGGTTCTTACATAGGCCTAACAATAGTTCTACCTCTCCCTCTCCCTTGTGCAAACTTCAAATCAAATCAAATCATTTATTAGGCCACAAGTTTACAACATTCATATTAATAATAATAACTAAACAATTATGTATATATTTTGTGGCCGGGGAGCTACAAGGATAGCTCAGGCTGTTTTCACACGAGCTCCCCTGGTTCAGCATACTAATGATTAGATTTAAACGTTGTGCAATGTGCATTAATGGAGCACATAAATGGCGGAAAGTGGCGGCAGTGGCGGTTGAAGAACAGGAGGCGGAGACATAGCGTCATTCTTTTCAGTCAGAAATACAAAAAGTTTTAGGCTCAATAATGTAAAAGTTAGTTCTTGATCAAGAAATATTAATTACTACATGTTATTCTGATCCAGATACAAAATCAAGAATAAGCTATATATTTCTTCAGACAAGGATACATATATATGATGTTCATTATATGTATCAAGTATTAAAAAAATATGAACAGATCATATTTAAGACCTTGGAAACCCCAATCTAATCTAAGAAACTAGAGTTGAACAAGTATAGCAAAATAGCTGATTGCATTTAAAGTTCGATAATCTATCCAGAAAATGTTGCTCAAGTTTATATTTAAATTTATTTTTACTTGCAATACAAGACAAAGCTGGGTCAAGTTCATTCAAACAGGAAGTGAAATAATACAAAGGAAATCTGTTAACAAATAAATTTTTACATCTAGGAACAAAAAATTGTTCTCAATTTCTTAAGGGGTATTGGTGCATGTCAATATCTAAATTCCTGGGGAATTAGTAAGTATGCAATTTATAGACCAGCTAAAATAACCATCCTATGCCTGAAAAGGTTTTCCTTTAAGAGTCAAACTACTCAACTTAGAATCTTAAACTAAGCTAATCGCATTCCAAAAGTTCAATTGAGTTCACTGAATAAAAAGGTGTGAGTCAAGTTTGATTGGAAATAATAACAAAGAAAAATCATATTTAGAGGTTTGTAAATCACTCCAATATAGGAAGGTGAGGGATACTAAAGTTCTGTTAGAATTAATCCCTTCATGAAAGAATCCAATTCAGAATATTGTTAGATATGTAAATAAAGGAATAGAGTCCTACCACACACTTTCAATTTACAATCTCTATATCTTTTCAATCTAATGTCGTAGACCTTAGATATTTAAAAATATGAATTATATTGGATCAAGCAAGTTTGAAATATTAAAGGTTTACACTTTCAGGTTGCGAAGATATGGGGATTTGAAAATTTCAGTTTGTTGCAAAGACTTCCTTTAGTTAGACAAGTGAATTTCAATGTATACTTACATTACATATTCCAATTTAGTTTCAGTAAAGGTTTTAGTGGTAGAAGATACTGTCATCACAAGATTTTTGGTATCAGCCACATCAAGTACTTTTAAGGTTTTCACACTGCCCTAAAAACAATTCATTGATACATTTAGCATTAAAGTGAGTGACCGGCAATGTATGGTAGTTGAACTGAGAATGTATAGTATTGTGGAGAAATTATTGTGAATCATTTGAGACATAGAAACCGTTTTAGTGATGTATGATTACTGAGCTTAATTGCAAATAACGACTCAAAATATTTAAAAAAATCGACAGTGAACTAATTTCTCAATTGAAATTTTCTCAATAAATCAATGTAAGAATTAATTATTTCTTTTACATCATTAAATTGAATTTCTTATTCTTTACAATAGTGTTTGCAGATTTGTTAAAACTCTTCAAATGTTGTTTTTTAACAAAATTCTAGGAAATCTACAGAAAATTTTTGTGATCCATTAAACATTACAGAAACCAATAGATGAATAAAATTCCTTATTTTTGATGAAGTATAGTTAAATTTATAGTTTATTATTGCTGACAAAAACGCACCAACTCCGAAGCGTGAAGCTTTTAATGCATTGTATCAAATTGTTATCTTTTTGAGCCACGTAGTTTTTGAGAATTACGGCACCGTTGACCGTGTTGTGAACGAAAACCGCGTAATTAGAGAATCAAATCAAACAATGAAATATGCCCAACACTGCGAAAAATTTAAAAAGGAAATGGAAAAATCTCAGCGCACTGTTAAAACCCTTGATATGCCAAATGAAGATTCTCTAATTGATGGTAAAATTGAACATACGAACACGGCCAGGGAAAATGTTAAAAAAACCTTAAAAACCAAGTTGAACGTCTCTCCGGACCTCCTCATTGGGAGCTCAATTATGATTAACTCAAAATCGATACGCCACGGCAATACGCCTGTCGGTATTATCGCTGCGGTTAAGGATAAAAATCTCGATCGAAAAAACCCTTAGAGCTGCCTCTAAAAAAGTAGTTGTGGAGTGGCCTTCTTACTTGTACTCTCACATCAAGGAAATCAGGAAGGTATATTGAACCCCATTCAATAGGTTCTAACATAAATTAGTTTCTGGACGATCTTGGGGAGTCTCAATTCAACAGAAAAGATTATTTTGTAAAACTCTCATTAAGTACAGGGATATTTGATTTCTGAATTAAATTACATGTATTTGAATCCCAGTTTGTATATTTAACCTTGTTACCCTCTTGTAAGTGGGTCTTCTTCTCTCCCCTTCCCCCCCCCCCCCATAATAACCATGAAGATATCAATACATCTTTCCCCTCCCCTCTCTTTTCTTTTAACTCCTTACTTATGACCAAGACAAGAGGAAGAAAGAATATTTTTGTAAATTAGGTTGACTGGAAAGTTAGTACTTCAATATTTAATTGAAACTAACTCTTGTAAAGGAGATGAATTTTTATGTTTCTTTAAATGATTCTGCTCTCAAGGGAACGAAGCAGGGTAATTACTTATTCCCCCTCCTTGAGAGAAAAACAATTAGTGGTCCTATTGGTTATCATATGATTAATGGAACTAATTAGCCTGGGGACACCGTGGGAAATTATCATTGAATTTTGTCACGTGATATTCTTTTGTATTATCGTAACGTGGCGAGATATAAGGAAGCCAGATTCCTGGTTTCTTCAGTCTAGTAATATTATTCAAATCTATTTATTGATTAAAAAGTACAGGAACAAATAAAAATAAACTTTATATATATATCAACGATATGTACATTTTGATTTTTTTGATTTTAATAAATGTGTAGACGAAAACAACAAAAAACTATATGTGCAAAGATTAATGAAATAAAATACCGGTGCCAAAATAGCAGCATTTTAAGAAGCAGCAATTTAAGAACTGGAAAAATCATATATATATATATCTACGTCCAGTACCCCTTCGATATTTTTGCAGATTCAACTGAAATTTCCGAGTTTGTTGACAGCCTCGAATTGACGAAAGCCGACGTCATAGTACTTGGAGGTCAAGGAAACTCCCTCTTGCAAGGGATGTCTACTCCTAAGTTCAAAAAGCACGTTCCATCTGGGTTACCAGCAGGTTTCTCAACCTTTGGAGCAGGAAAAACAAAAGTTTATCACGCTCTGAACATTGCCTCATACGACCCCAAGTATCTTGACAACTTTGGGGTTTTTGTTGAAAGAATCATGGGATGTATTAACCAGACCCGGGCCAGGACAGTTTAAATAGCACCCTTTCCAAGGTACCCTACAGCATGCTGTACACAGTCAGGCCATTTTTGCGCTGGGTTCGATGGAAACCTCTTTAACTCAGAGTTTGTAAGACTGGGGACATACATCTCACGTCTGCACGCCCTGAAGGATGCTTTCGTGCTAACCCCCGAAGACTTTTGTAACCAGGACAACTGGGTCTCGAGAGGGAAGATGTTAAAGGAAGGCTGTTTAAACCTGACTGATAAGGGGATTCAAGTGGGCCGGTCAATGGTCCAGAAGTGCGTTCACTTCTTCAGGCTGGTATGGGACATGCCCAAACCAACCCTGGGTCCCTCTATTCCTTGCGGCGTTAAATTCTCACAATAGGTTGAGGCTCATCGAGAGTCCTGTGCGTTTGAGGATCTGAAGCCTTCAGGGTCCTCAAGACGTACACAGCTGCCCGTGTCGTATCAGAAACAAGCCAAGCACTAAATCATCTGAATGTGCTCGACTTAAACACTCTGCACAGGGTTCCCCCCCTCCCTCCCCTCCTCTCATGGGTAACCCCCCCGGAAGGCAAGCCTCTCTTGGTCTTCCTGTAGTTACTCGTCCTCATCTTCTTCACCTCCCCGTCCTTTATCCTTCTACCCCTCCTTTATCCTACTTTTTCCTGTAATTTTTTTCCAATTTAATTTTTCCAATCCTTTATTAATTTTATCCATTCTAAAACTTTCCCTAAAACTCCTTATTTACCTCAAGAGTGGAATATATATTTGTATTTTAAAATAATGCTTTATTACTTCTTCCTGTAATTTTTTTCCAATTTAATTTTTTCCAATTTAATTTTTCCAATCCTTTATCAATTTTATCCTATCTAAAACCTTCCCTAAAACTCTTTATCTACCTCAAGAGTGGAATATATATATTTGTATTTTAAAATAATACATTATTCCTATTGCCTAACCACTTCATTTATCTCAAACCTGAGGAGTGAATTGTTGCTAAATAGCTTGAGGAAATCTAAAAGTTTCATAGATAATCCTATGAATTGAATTTCATTTCATGACAGTTTTATATTCTCTTTCTTTGTTAAAAATAGTTGGACGAGAAACCCACAGATCCTGACTACTGGAGCTGTCTGAGCACAAAATATGCTGATCGGGGATCACTTTAACGCTGAACTCGAGACAGGAGCGAACTTTTTTCCGGATACTCGATCACGGAGAGGAACTCTTCCAGCGCAAGCACAACAGTAAAAATAGAACTTCAATGCGGGATCAAAATAAAATTCGCAAATTCTTAAATTAATTGACCTGTTTTTTATATATAGAGATGGACACTGTCACCATGAACTTGTAAGTTTACGGAGGTTTATTACTTCATAACTGATTACGTCCTTTATAATTAAAACGCCCCCACAATTGAATCTACTAAAATGTAAAAATTCTGATTTGTTTTACCAATTATGACTTAATTTCAATATGGATCTGTTTTCAATTTCGGATTAAAATCTCGATTTCATTTTCTAATATTTAACTGAATGAATGATTGAAAACCCCTGAAGCAATTTGCAGAAACAAAAAATAAATTTTAATCTTATAATCTTTTATCAGATGGGACTGTTAATGTCTGTACTAAAAAATAATGGCTTCTTTCGTATCCTAAAAATGAAAAAAGGAAAAAAACATGGTTTTAATCGATATTTTTTATTTTATTCAGTATAAACTGATCCCGGAACACTGGCAGAATGACGGAATGATAACGGAGAAAAACCCACTCTGCTGCTTGATCTCAGAGTGGAATTATTCCTGCGCAAATATAACGTATAAACCGATCCTGGAACACGGGCAGCAAGACTGAATGTTCTGGGAGAGGAACCCACTCTACTGCAGAATTATAACGGTAAAAATAGATTTTCATGGGATCCCTTTGAGCTTGGCGGAACTTATTCTAATTTGACGAATATTATTTTTATTTTATATAGAGGGCGAATGTTGTGAACACGGATCGCATGAGACTGCAAAGGTTTAACCTAAATAAAAATTAAAGACTGTACAGTATATACAAAACTATACATTCTGTCTAAATTATAACCAAATAAAGATTTTCAAACCCCACTGGCGATTTTGTGTCAAAATACTTCCAACTATAAAAGTTTGTACTGATTCCACTAACAAAACTCTTAAGTTTGGTTCTCTAATTCAGGAATTGTGCTTTTCTTTTTTGAATCCAAAATGTGGGAACAAAAATGAAAAGATTTCCGCAAAAATGATTTTACTATTTTTCACAAAAACTCCTATTTATCCAATGTGAAGTTCTTTTCCTTTATAAATACATTGATAATCGAATCATACCAAGTTTGCTCGTCCTTTTCGATCCTCGAAACCAATTTATGAGAACTATTTTCAATATAAAATATATAAAAATCAAATTTCTTCGGCTATCAAAACTTGAATCATTAACTTAATCTTAAGTATAAGCTTAATTCACTAATTCAATATTCGGGTTTCTTTGCTTCTGAAAAATTAAAAGAATTTCAGCAAAATTAATTAGTCCTCTATAGGTCTTGAAAATTTCTTATTTACCCAACCAGAACTTTTTAATAACTAATTTTTTATAATTAATTTTCTATCATACTTCAATTAATAGAGATTCTATGATTTTAAATCTGATATTCTTTGAGTTTAAGGTAAGAATTACCAAATGTTTTAAATAAACTAATGGTTCTTTTTACTAATTCAGTATGAACAGAACTGAAACGCCTCCTGAACCGGCGGATAACTGAGGCTAACTTCACCGCCGAGGATCCATGATTTCACAAGATATGACGAAGTCGAAGTGACTGAAATTTCTTTCCACTATCCTAGTCTATGTAGCCTAGATATTAACATGGAACCATCAATGTTCCTTGTCAGTATATCTCTGAATTATAATGTTCCTTCTTTTACATAAATTATGTAGCCTCAAGACTAACAAGGAACGGACAATGTTCCTCGTTACTATATTCCTTAATTATAACGTTCTTTAGTTTATCCCAAATTATGTAGCCTCAATATTAACGATCAATGGTCAATGTTTCTCATTATGTAGCTACAGGGTGTCCCAAAAAACATGGGAATTCAGTGACAAATTCGATATCGTCTTTTTAGATAATTCTTTGATTTAGTAAAGTGATACCTACTGAGAAAGCTGTAATTTGTAAGAGTTTTGTCTGCTAAGTTCACATTTTGTTTGTTTATGTTTTGACTGCATACAGTCGTACTTAGTAAAACAAGAAAATTACAGTATACAAACAGTCTACAGACAAGTAAATACTCTGTTTCAAACAGAGTATTTACTTGTCTGTCTTCACTGTTCATCTTGCAGAGACATTATAGACACACCTTTACAGTCTTTTACCCTTTCATAAAATAAACTCTAGCAGACATAATAATATTATGGCTTTTGAAATTAGGTACTACAATGCTAATTCATAACAAAGACGATATCCAATTCGTCACTGAATTCCCATGTTTTTTGGGACACCCTGTAACATAATTTCTCTTTAACTTAAAAAAGAAAAATAGCTCCCGTGCTTGTTTATTGAAAACATACACTAAGTTATGTGTAGCATTTTCTAATATGCGATAACACAGACTGTGTTTTTAGTATCTCTCAGTCATATTGAATACAAGTAATGCTATCTTATTATAAATAATGTAGTTTTTTCTCTTGAACTGCTGCCTCATGAATACTTGATTTTAAATGTAGCATCAACTTTAGAGAGAAAAAAACGAAAAAAAAATGTATCCGTAAACTAATAGATTCCTTCTTAATTAATTTAAAAATGTACACGATACTGTCGTAAAATATTTTTAATTAAATCCATGTAAACAATTTTGTAAAATTAATATAAGCTCGATACGGAGATAATAAATATCTAGATCTTAAAATTTTTTTTTATTTTCTCAACCTGTTCCTAATTAACTCTAATTAGTTTGCTGTAGAATTTCTACTACATTTTTTGTTGTTATTGCATATTTTTTTTAAAACCGATTCTCAAATTTATCCCCCAAAAATGAACAAATTATGAACATTTTAAAGATTTTATTTGCGCTCTTTCTAAACAAATATTTACTGTAAAAACGTCTCATAGGTCTAAAATGATTCCAAAATATTTCTCCACAATATTATATTCTCAGCTCCACTACCATACTTTGCCGGTCACTCCCTTTAACTTTAGTTAATATTCAGAAGGACTTTGAATTGAAGTCTTTAAACTGTTAAAAGTGAACTCTTGTGTTTTGCAGACTTTTAAAGCAGCTGGAGGCTGGATCAAGATGAACAATATACATTACTGGAATTTATAAAGAATTATGAAATTTTTAAAAATTTTTAACATTCTCAATTTTAAAGTGTTGCAACCCCTTAGCCTTTTTGTTAACCCTAAGTATAAACATTCTAAAATTATAATGGATTTGTGTCTAGCTTGTGCTAAAAAGGAGTAACTGGCAAAAGACTGCTAAATTTTTGTGTGATAGCTTGCACATCTTGGTTTGCACTATGCACTGATAAAGATATTACAAATGGCAACATAAAATTCCTCAACCCCACCCAACCTATCTTTGAGGTTGGTAAAGTTTACATGTTGTCAATATAAAACAGGATGTTATTGCAAAATAGCCTTTTAACCAAATTTTATAAATTTGAAGGGGTTGTTAAGCTGCCACTGGTTCAAATTTGAATCACTGATTGGAATCCTTCTTGATTCTTTAACTTAGAATTGGTATGATGGATCAAATTTAAATGGTCAGTTGGCACTCAAAACTCAAAGTACAAAATAAATTTGGAACAACTGCCAAAAACCCTCTGCACTCACCCCCTGCCTACACTTTCATGTATGATCAACTTGTTAGGTCTGACATTCCTGGTTACGGCATGTTATGCAACAAAATAAACTCCCTGCCCCTGAGCTCTCCTCTTAGAAGATGTGAAACCCCTGAAGTTGAAGGAGAGACTGTGTTTGTAGTAATGAATCAAAACCAGTTTTGTATTGTAAACTCTACCTTAAATCTCTACTGAGTCAGCCATTTTTTGTCAGTTACACTTGATATTTTGGTACAAAAAGTATTATTGTTGTGATCTGCTTGTGGCACATTAAGGTATTAATTAGGCATTACTACATTATTTCATATGAGAAATGAGATTTTATCCTTGTATTGTTTGAATAAAAACTAAATCTATACATGCTAAAGTTTTTGAGCTAGTACAGATTTTTTCCCACTAACTGATTTTGTATGTATTTCCTTTTCAAGTAAAAGTAGTCGGGCAATCTTTCACAGATTGAACCCGTCTGGCACTAATTAGAGCACAGTTATTTTGAGGAAGAGAGCCTAAAACAAGTAAAGTTTTTTCCAAGAGATCTGAGACTTAGTGCTGGTTCCAATCAGACCCCATAGCAGATTATTTCTAGTTTAATACTTCATGATATTTAAAGCTGCCAGATTTGGTAGCGAAACATGGCAATAAATTTGATATCTTAAGCAGAAAATAAGTTATTTTCAATTGAGCATAGTGAGTGTCCAAAAAATACTAGTTTTAACAAAATTTGTTCTTCCAAAATTATCAGAATCGGTGACAGTAAACAGAAAAAAAAGAATAAAGAAAGAAGGAGAGAAACAATGACAATAAGAATAATAAAATTAAAATTTTTCACTATTAAATTAAAATTTAAATATAATAAATTGTTTTAAAAAATTTGGCAGTTGCTAGTTCAGGAACTTTACTTAAATGCACTAAAATAATTCCTTGGTTATTTTTAACTTTAGATTTTTATAATTATTAAACATTATTACTAACCAGATTATCAAACCAGCCTCCAAGTATTGCAATTTTTGTTGTAGGCAGACAAATTAACTCCTCAGAGGTTACATTCCACCTAGCAGAGTTTCCAAACACTTGGCAGTAAACTCCTTCAATAATTAAACTGTATAGCCAACTCAACAATTTGTTTCCAAACAGATTGCAGGTTTTTTTATTTTTACAAGATTCAGGATTTGTACATTGCATTTTATTTAATAAACAGCATTATCTCAGGTCTAAAATTTATAGTTCCAAAAAAACTGAGTTACATAGCTCAAGTAGCAAAATATTAATTTTTTAGACTAAAATCAAAAAGTTAAGAATTTTAAGGAAAAATTGGGAATGTTAGGACAAGGATTTTAGATACAGTGTTCAGCAATTATACCAATACAATTAAGACAACTTCTTATTAGTGATGTTTTAATCCCTAACAAGCCTTTTTCAAATTACAAGTCCAGAAGAAAACAAATAGAAAGTGTAAATTGACAACTTCTCTTTGTTTATTTGTGTAAGTGTCTTTGCTGTCTGAAAGCTGAATTAAAATAAAAATTGAAATAGAAAGTTGTCTGCATTGTATTGATATATATTAATAGTTTCTGAATAAATGTATAACTATGTGGTAACAATTTGTGAAGTAAAAAAGAACTTGCCTCTGTACTTTTTAGGCACAAATCCTGGATTGCAGACAAGAAAACATCTTTCTAAAATCATTCTATCATTATTATCTTTAAATATAGAGATATGTTTGAGCGTCGTCTCAAATTTGTGATGCAGCTCAAATTCATTAAACTCAGCCTCTGCACTAGACATAAATCTTAGATGGAAAAGAATATTATATTTAAATCTATTCTTTTCAATAAACATAATCTTTCTGAGTTATTGTTTATTTTACATGTTTAATGTAATACCTGGGTTTCTCCCCATATAGCAATTAAATCTGCCATTAGCTGGATCATCAAGTACTTTACAATCATTTTCTGGTTCAAAATAACATATATTGTTCAAGTTAAATAAATTCTTTTTTGCAATATGATATAATCATTAGGCAAAAGGTTTGTTAACAGTTAGTTAAAACCATTAAAAATAGGAGTTAGCCATTCATTATTTAGGTCAGATTAAAAAAATATTTAAAAGTACTAAACCTTTGAAAAATTACTTCTTTCTTTATCAAAAATAAGATATTGCCATATTTGATAAACTAAGTTTTCAAGTGCTTCTCAAATTTACAAATGTTACTTTTTCATATTAGGTATTATTTAATTCTTTTCCCTTATTTTTAACTTTATACCAAAATGTGCAACAAATAGTTCCATAGATTTTTCTGTCTGCAAAGCCTTTTTCAATTCCCTTATCTCTATTTGCCTAGAAAATTAATAAGATAATTTTGATTTTAAATTACCCAATCACCCTTTTGTTGTAAGAGCAAATCTAATACAAATCTTTCTCACTACACTACACTACATACATTTGTTTTCAGAAACATTGGGATTTTAGTTTAATTGTTAGATATATAAAAATACATACTTTTGTACTCCTGTATAGCATGTTGATGTTGTATTTTCAAAAGTAAAAACATCACAGTCAACACCTCTGACTAAANGGCGTATTGATCATCTGTTAAAATTAAATCCCCAATATTAAAACATGGTATAATATATCTAAATATATATTTACTTCAATCATCTTCTATTTTAAATTTTAATTGTTGATCTATCTTCGATATTGTCTTTTCTTGAATTATCAAACGATAACTTTTTTAAAATTCTGACCTTCCATAAACCCTCCTGGGGTCATGTGAGGTCCAAGAAAAAAAAATTGACGTTTTTAGGAAGCAAACAAACAAAGATAAACAAATTATAAATATAAAGAGTGGAGTGGGATTGGAAAGAGTAAAATATAATTGGTTTTAGAATTTTGTTCAGCTTTTGTTTTACCCATTGCAGACATGCATGCAAACAGGCAATCAGTTTTAGATTTCGGAGTCAAGTCTGAAATAAAATTCAGAAAATGTAAATCTTTTTATGTTTAATTTTTGGATTAATTTCTTTATTCTCTTTTTCTTTCCATTCTGGTTTTGTTGTAATTATTTTCACATTAAATTTCAACATATCAACAGTTCAACATATCAACAGTTCCACATATCAAGAGTTCAACATATTGTAGGAGACAAAAAAGTGATTTTTCGGTGTTGTAAATAGTTCGTGGGAGAAATATATAACCCGTTCTCCTAATGTTTAGCATTTAAGTTATTTTGAGAAGCCCGCCCTATGGGGCCTGATCATAGTTGGAATTTCCGATTGGGAATTCACCTGGAAATCCCAGGGACTAGGGTTCAAGGAACTATACAAGCAGAGCTGAAAACTTTAGAATGGTGGATATCGGGATTAATGCTTGATCCTCTCTTTTTGATAATCTCAAGATTAACATAATCTTGCAAGATTATCTTAAAAGTGTATGAAAAAGGATAAAATTCAAATTAATATTTAATCATCTGAGAAACTGTAGCAGCCAATCAGAGAAAAGTGGGCAACCAATGAGAGAACAGAAATATTCTCATTGGAGAAAACAATTAATGGATATCCAAGGAGAGAGAAAAAGAGTGGATTAGGACAAAAATGAAAAGTTTCCACAGTGGATATTCGGATCAATAAGTCAGGATTAAAGTTTATCCATTCTTAAGTTCCCAGCTCTGGTCAACAGGAGGAGAGGGAATAATTGGTCGTGTGCGAACTGGCTGGAGAGGAGGTGGAGCTGATTGATGTGACCACAATGTGTAATTGTGTATAGAATTCATCAATCAACCAATAATACCATTTTTACTATTTAATAAGTACTTTGTCTTGTGTTTTCGTGTAACATTTATTGAGTCTGTGAACTAGTTATGCATGATGCATTTTGAGTAAATACTGCTTTTTGGTATATTTAACAATATCAACAGTTCAACATACCAACAGTTCAACAATAACCTTTTATTGATAAATGTTTTCCTGACTAAAATCAAGTTTCCTTCCATTTTTTGTCCCTTTTTCCTTTCTTTATAAAAATGCTTTTATTTCTGATCTTTATGGATTCAAATTTTATTTATATTGTGATTACCTGCCACTTTCTGTAGTTCTACTGAGCTAACAGGCAAAACAGTTTTCTTAAATCCTCTTGAAATAACTCCACTCACAACACTTACACTATAAATCATTTATTTTATCAAATCAGAAATAAACCCATTCTATGGTGGAATAGGAAGAGAAGACAATATTTGATCATGTTTTTTTAAATTTGTTTTATTTTTACCCTATCCCGAATAGGTTTTCCATGAATTAGTCAATACATGCACAACAGTTGCATGGTTTTGCACGAAATGACATTTTTTGCACGAAATTCAGGATAATTTTTGTATCAATACAAAACCATTTTTGCACAAACTTGCGCATTCATTCGAAATAAATAAACTTTTTTTTATGCACAACATTTTGTATTCATGATATTGCATATGAATACAGGTCATTGTTGCATTTAAATTTACAATGCCCATGAATTCGAAAAGATAAAATTTTTGTACAGCAGTATTGTGCATGAAAACTAATTTAAGTAATATATTTGTTGCATGCCATATAGTGCAAAATATGAAAGGTTTCAATATTTGGACAGTATGGTGTGAATTAGTTTCAGTTAAAAAACAAATCCGATCCAACTCTGCTCGCCTCTGAGTTCAGACCAGTTAGTTAGTTAGTGAATGTGATAATGATAAATTATTCGTTAGTAACTCAGTTACTGCTTAAGATTGATTGCCAGTAAACGGTGTAATAGTCAATACGGTCCGGTGACCTAAAACCTGAGAATTGGGGCTCAATTGGCCAGCATGTGTAAGCACCGCATAGGCTGGTGGAATGAGCCCCAATTGACGGGCCTGACCTCAAACTCTGATTGGTTTAATTTTAAATTTATTCATCATTTCCTGGAATTGTTTCTCGTAATTTAACAAAAAAATTAAATAGCTCAAAATAATAAAATAGCTCGGAATAACAAAATCCGCAAATACCAAGATTTTCTTCAGAATTGGTTCGAAATAGCTTTTGCGCATCAATTGTGTGAATGGAATCCAGGATGAATATAATTTTATAATTTAGTAAACCCTGAATTATATTTCAAGTCTGTATGCAATTGTCGTCTTACTTCCTTATCTAATTAAGAGCTAATCTAACTTTGGACCCCTTCTTTAAATCAATGAAAATGTTTTCTTTTAATTTTTTTCTTTATTTATATCAAACTAGTCCAATTGCAATGTTTAACAAGGCCAAAATGTCTGATTTTAAACTGTTCCTTCTAATTTAAATTTTGTGCAAAGTAATGTACATCAATTGATATCAATCGATCAGAAATATTCCATGGATAATGCCCATAATTTTAACCCTAAACAGGGGGGGGGGCGTTTGGCCACCCTGTATTTTTTTGTCCTAGCGCTCTCATTTATGTTGTTAGTTATATTTTAACTTTTAACCATTAAATATGTATTATTAACTATGTTTTTAACCCTAAACAGGCTGGCCACCCTGTATTTTTTTGTCCTAGCACTCTCATTTTTGACACTATCACCATGAAATTTTGTGACTTTTAATTTAATAGTAAATTAAGGGATTTTTTGTTAAAAAATATTTTTTATATTTATAGGTCCTGTAGGGTACAGGGCTGAAAAAACTATTTTTTTGAAAAGTCCTTGAAAAATGCATGTAGAAACATGTATCACACTTTGATATTTGTTTTAAACAAAATAAACAACATTTTTTTTCATTTTTTTTTATTTTGGCCTTTTTCACTCTCCCCAGCACCCAAACTGTTAAAGTTAGGAACATGCATTTCAACCCTGTACCTATTCTCTAAGGCCTTTTTCTAGGCTCCCCCCCCCCCAAGCTTAAAATAGATTCAGACCCCCCAGCCTGTAAAGGGTTTTATTAAGTGAATCATGGTGAAAGCTCCAGTGCCCTAAAGAGTGTTTAATAGAGACGCACTATACGCTTACCTTAAACAGAGTAAAATTGAAAATATGAAAAGATGTTTATTAAACATGATTAATACACCAATGTATCAGGCTTGGTGTATGGTTGAAAACTGACCTTAAATTAATTGGCAAATAGTATTTGTATATTAAAGGTTTGCATAGATAGAAAGTTATTTTAGAATCAATATTTATAGCTGGGCACATTGTGTGAAAAGATAATTAATTATTCAGTAAATTAAATCATAAAAGAGAAAAAATTTGTTTTTGAACTTTACTCTTCATTATCAAACTTAATTTAAAAATGAAATGTTTAACAAATAAACAGTAAATTTACAACTAACAGTACTATAAGTTAGTATGAAAAAATAGTTTGAAGTAAAGCGGGCAGTTAACAACTAAAATTAACAGAAAATTAAATTTAGACTTAATTGCATTTACAATGAGAAAAAAAAATTCTTATTCAATTAAAGGAAAGTTTAACAAAAATTGGAAAAATTTGCTTTTGATTATGACAAAGAATATGCTAAAATGCTTTTCATGAAAAACAATAGGCTTTGCTTAACAATACAATACAAACAAGACACAGAAAAATATTTTTTTTAATGGTGACATTCAACAAGATAAGATAAGCACTAAATTTCCGCTATATAGCTAAATTAAGACTTCCTAATAAGTATATTTGATTTAAAAAGGCAGTTTCTGATTTATTTCTCTAAAAGTAAGTTCAGTGTATTTTTCTTTCTTCAGTTTTATTTAATTTATTTAATTTTTTTAATGATAAATTTAAAAAACTATATTTTTCTTTTCATTTCAAATAAGTTTTTTTTTGTAAAGGCCAATTTATTTGTTTAGAAAAAAAACGGCAGGTAGTGATAACCAAAAAACAATGGAATAGAAAAAAGACACAATAGCAATTCTTAAGTGCTTTGATGTTGTTATTCAAAGCAAATATTTTTACTATTTAATACTCAGCAGAGCACAATAAAACTAAAAAGGGTCTATTTACACTGTACAATTGTTATGTCTAATTTTCATTGAACTAGTTTAATTCCTAACTTTAGATTAAAAGGCGTCTCACTATTTCAGATTTTTCTGGTTATCACTGTACTAATAATAAAACTGAATATACTGATATCTTCATATTCTTATGTGATGTAGAACTTAGATATGCGAGAAACAGTGAAGTGAGTCTAAAAATAAATTGGCTGGCACTGAAGGGTTTCCATCACAAGTGGATTTTACCTGTCTGCAATTGAGAGCCCCTGCTCACAAGTGAATTTTATTGCGCGCAATTCCATAATAACTGCACTTCAATGTAATTGCGCCTAATTGCGCACTATAGCGCCCGCCCAACTTTCTTGCATTTGTATTTAAATTTTTTGAGAATATTCACTTTAAACCTAATGGAAGGAAAGCAATAAATGCAATTAATTAATGCACATTCGTTTATTGAGTTTAAAAAATTAATTAAAACTTTGGTAGTGGCAAACCATACACTGAACTTCAATAACATTTCAGTCTCAAATGCAAAGAAAATTAAATTTAAACTTTTTTATTTTATACCATCCTTATACAGCATGATAACCAGAAACCTCTGGCATAGGAAGACAACTTTTAGACTTTGGGTCTTTTTCAACTGAATAAGTGATTTAATAAGTTACTTATTAATTTTTTTTGTTTGTTTTTTAGAACATCTGATACACTGTTGTACTGTTGTCTTCCAATACCATAGTCTTATAATTCTCACTGTAACAAAATATCTAATTTTGATTAAGCTTACAATTTCAACCAAAAAAATATTTCATCATATTTTATTGTTAATAAGTGGCTTAACCAAAAGAAACTTAAAAATTAAAAAAATATTGAAAAATTTCAAGGACCCTGGATTTTTTAAAAAACTCAGAGATAACTTCTACCCATTTCCATTCTTGTATCTGCTGCATAAATTTCAAAATGATTGATGTTGAGTTGAGTCACAGTTCAAAATGATTGATTTTTAGATGGGAAAGCCATTGGAAAGCCTTTGCAAAGCAATTCTGTTACACACAATTCCGTACAATTACGTGCAATTCAAAATTTTTAGATGGGAAAGCCTTTGCAAAGCAATTCTGTTGCATGCAATTCTGCAAATATTTAAATGCTTCATTGTTCGCAATTATAATGCCATTCAGCGCAATGAAGTGGCTCAAGAGGAAGTAATCATTCCGTGAAATTCCGCAAAACGGATCATGTGACACATCAAGTCAAGTTCTTGTGAGGTGATTCTTAAGATGATGAAATTAAGATTAGGCGTTAATCCCAGGTTTAACAAATAAAATCCCGGATCTAAGCTTTTAAATTGCAAGCTCAGGTGAACTGTCATAACCTTGTATGTTTCTCCTCTCTGTAATAAATCCATGTGAAGCCTAATTTTGGAACTTATGATAATGGTATTTGGATAAGAACACAAACAAATATCCTCCAACTCACATAGGACTAAGCAAACAAACATTAACTCAAACAAGTGTTCCTGCCCCCCCCCATAAAGTTTTTTTGTCATATTTCTCGGCGTAAGCCAGTAACTATTGTTTGTAGTATTAACGGTGTTAACAGATTGCCTAAGTTAGATTTATAGCACAAGCCATCATTGCAACAAAAAATCTTTCAAAGTTACGTCTTATAAAAGCCCATCCATTTCGTTTTCGTTTTCAGCCATTATTTTTTTTCCTTGTTAATGATTGAAAAATTTACTATTTTTCCCGTTAATTGGTTAATTGACTCTTTCCTTAATTTTTGAAAATCTCTGTCTCTTAAACAGAAATTTGCCCAGCCCTAGACTCCCACCATTCACAGTTGTTTCATGTTCCAAGGTATCCCTTAATTTTGATTGGATGGGCATCAACCAATAAGATTTTTTCTGTATTTTCTTGAACGAAGATTGAGAATTCATAATCATAGATTCCTTTTGCATTATATTGTTACATTAATTCTACATCATTAGTATTCTGTAGGGTTATACTTTCTAGTATGATTGAATAATATGCATTAAGGATTCAATATATTACTTCTAATATCTATAAATACTATATATATTGATATCTAAGCAGAAAATAATAGTAATAACAACCCGTTTATCTTTTTTTATTAAAAATTTTCTTACATCTATTTGAGTTTTAAGATAGGGCTGGCCGTGTTCCTTTTATAAAATCGCTCATTCCTCGTTTTAGAACGAGGCCATTCAACTGGATCCTTGGTTTCTTGTTTCTTCTTTTTCCAATAGTTCTATCTCTAATCTGTCTTGTTCTGTTCTTTGAGCTCTTGATAGAGAACAGTTGCAGCCATTTGTTAATGGTGGATAATCTTTAACAATAAAGAACGTTAACAATTTTGATCATTCCTCATTCTAGAACAAGAGCCTTTAGCAAAAATAGTCCATTACTTTTTTTGTGGTTTTAGCTTTAGATCTAAAACTAAAATATTTGAAAAGCCTTTTACAATTTGATGTGGCAATACGCGTCATGTGTCGATATTTGTCAAAAATTATAATAATTATTTTTGAACGTTTTTCCAAACACTACAGCTTTTTGTAGGACTTTTCTGTTTTTAATAAGCTGTTCAAATCTATATAAAACTTTTGGAATAAAATTTGGGTTTTCTGCTTTATTAGGTTTCCGTTCGTAATTTTGTTTCACATAATTACGCGTAATTACACGTAACACTTTCTTTCACTCACGAAGAAGCATTATGCGAAGTTACGTGCTAATTATGTTAAAAAAAGAAAGTCTAGTTTCGCATAATAAAGGTGTAATTACGCAAAATTACGTAATACGAAACCATTCCGTAATTAGTACAGTAAATATTAATTCTCAGAAATAAATAAAGCGGGATAATATGTGTAAGAATATGTGCAACAACCATTTCCAATCTGAATGGATAATTTAAATACTTTTAATTTGAATTGAAATTCGTTTAGGGTGATGACTAAACCTCTGTAGAGTGAAAAAAGTAGATGTTAGTTCCACATTTTATTGAAAATATATTTCGGTCTAGGTTGACCCTCGTCAGTTCTAGCGATATAATAACCATCAAAATCGATGTTAAAAACCACAAGAAAATAAACAAACAAAAAAGATGTTTAAATTTTTCAATGGGCTGTTTAATGGACAAGAGGGAAACGAACTCAAATCATGAGATGGAAAAAAGATAATTTGCAAAAACTCACTCTTTAAAGAATGTTTTAAGAAAATTATTATTCCTTGAGAGTGTTTCTGTCAAATGAAGATTGAAAACAAACTGTTTAGTTTATATGTCAAGTGTATAAAGTGGTGGTGGGGGTCAATCTAATTAACAAACTTTTACGTAAATCAGGGGGGGGCGGCTTTTCTAAGGAGGGGTATTTAGACTTTTTAAAGAATTGGAAATAAACAATACTCTTTTTTAAATAATGAATTACAGTTTAGAATTAAATAAAACTATTTTTCTGTTCATTCTTGTGAGTTCAGTATCAGTCATAAAATCTCTGATGTATTTAGATTCTCCTGGAAGGTTAAAATGTTCTCCTATCTAGGTTGGTTTGTATGAAGATTTCGCTATTTAGGCGTAATCATTGCAACATTTTGCGAAATTACTTTTGTAGAAATAACGCCAAAATTTTGCGAAATTGAAGTTGTAGAAATTACGCAAAATTATGCCATAATTTTGCGAAATTGAAGTTTCGCCAATTTTGTGTAATCCTGCAAAATTGCACAAAATGAATATTATTTCGCGTAACTTTACGTAATTTCGCTTAAGTGAATATCTTATTTCGTTGGAAACCCTATTTATTCCTAATGTAAACTGCCTGAATACCTGATTTATATTTTTGTTTTAAAGTTCTTGAGCTAGTTATAATAATTAACAAAGGACACTGCAGTAAAATCAGATTGAGAAAACATACCGTTTTCTAATTCTTAGAAATAAGACAAAATGGTTCTGACATTGACAAATTATAAGTAATTAGTCTATTTTGACTTTACTCTATTCCTTCCAAGCTGAGGGGAGAGAGGAAGGGTGAGGGAGGGGGGTAAATCCCATCCCCCTGCCTTTTGTAATCTCTAAAAAAACCTAAATGGTTTGGTTCTACA